GCACACAGCACACACGCACACAGCACACACGCACACAGCACACACGCACACAGCACACACGCACACAGCAGCATCAGCCTCATCACCAGTGCCCTTGCTCCAGAGTACCTTCCATTTCACGGGGCCTCTCACGGGATGAGGCACTTGGTTACAGCACACGCACACAGAGGCACCACCCATGTCCTCGAGCACCCCCCTCGCATGGCACACGCGACACACGGCAGGACACACACACAGCACACCATGCAGCAAACACGGCATACGTTCGTTCACTGCCGATCCTCGACCGCCGATCCCGACGGCCACTGTCTAGCACTACAACACCCTCACGCCCACACTCACCCCCATACCCCCATGCCTATGTTCTTTCCTCAGTTATCCTTCTCCCATCCCTGCGGCAAAGACATGCCCATCTGCCCGATCGGCAAGGATTCCACAAACCCATTCTTCTTGTACAACTTCCTGCCCGGCCCGTCTGCAAACAGCGTGACATACGGCCAGGCCCCATTTTCGTCCTCATCTCGCGGCGCATGAGTGCGAATGTGCTCTAACAACTGCTTCAGCACTGCATCGCCGAGACCTTTTCGCTGGTGCTCCGGCAGGACGGCCATGTCGGCGATGAGGAAATACCACCCGCCGTCGCCAATGACTCGACCCATTGCCACGATGGAATCTTTTAAATTTGAGGGAGTAGTAGTAGTGGTGGTGGTGGTGGTGGTCCCATCTGGTGATGGGGATGCCGGCGTGTACGTGATGTAGCACCCGTACCAGCTGCCTTGGGGGATTGGCGCGGCCTGTGCGACAGTTTTTGGGCTGAGCCCAGTTGCAGCACGCAGATGGAGGTAGTCCGGAATGGGAGGGTACCCGGATTGGAGGGTGTAGCCTTTGGGCAGAGCTGTACTGGGCAGGGCTGTACTGGGCAGGCGCGATGAAGAAGAGGTGAAGACTGGCGATTGTTCGTCGGCCATTTCGGTGTTTCCGGAGCGTGAATAGGAGGGATACTGTAGGCGAGTACAAAGATTCGGCGTCAAGTAAAAGTGATATCTTATCCCATAGTCAGTGGACAAGTACCAAACCTCCTTTAAAGGAGACACAGACTCCGCTGTCGATCGTAACACCGCAAACGCCGAGACTGCCCCCGATGAGCTCCGAGCCCGGTGGGGCGGGCTCCACAAGGCCCCACAGCCCAAATCGGCAAGTCGGCTCCGGACGGACCCACTTCTCTCCGGTCCGGCCCGGAGCATCTCCCGAAAGGTTGGTGGGGACCGTTGCTGCCTGAGATTGGGCTCCAAACAGGAACGGGGGGATGTTATCAGAGATTTTATTACTAGTTCCGCCAGTTGTGGTTTACTCTGACACGTCAAGCGAACGACAGTGCCCGAAATAGGAGAAAGGTTCACTGTTGACCTAAGGTGACGAAATTGTCAAACGGAGTTCCGTGGGCAAACAAGGAAACTCAAGCATATATAAATCGCCGGTATGAGGTTAGCGGTAACCTTGTGCATAGGTCCAACACCTCCACTACACTCTCGCGGCACTGGCAAGAAGTCACCGTCCTGTAACCCACTGTGGTGATGGGTGGCCTCGGTTCATGTATTGCTCACGCCGCGTGTGTATCTGGGGTTTTGCGTCATCTTAGTATGTTTCTAGATAGGTCTTCGATGCCCCAACTCCCTCTGTCCACTGACGCTCGATCGGTCATTTCCGTTGCAACCGCGCTCTTAATTTGGGCCAGGTTGGCATTCAGCCCCCCGTTGACATCTGTGAGAAAGCATCTGCTCCGCCAGCCCTGTCAAAATGCCTTGCAGACCCTCTCCAGGCGCAAGGCAGCTGCATAACACGCTCAGCTGCCCCTTAGTAAACCGGCTTGCTTAGATCCCTGGCTAAGGAAACCCGGATCACTCCCCCTCGTCATACTGCGTACTAGTAGTGTAGCTTAACCCATTTGCGTAGACCCTTGTCTAGGCAAGTCCAGTTCAGTTCGACCCCCCAGCCAAGCTGGGACCGGGCGGAGATCATCTTTGCCCTGTTCTCCGCGTGCGGTTTGTACTGCGCATTCAGACGGATCTGGTGAGCTTCTTTGTTGCCTCACTTCTTCATTTCCTATCCCTCCTTACTCGTCCCTCCTTTAACACTTCGTCGCTCTATTGTCCGCCTCCCCTCACCAACCTTGGGAATTATACGAAGGATTACGATCTCTGACGCCCAAGGCGTCCCTCAGAAGCCGCAATTTGAACAGATCAGGGCCTGATTTCAGCACATCAGTGGGAACGCTTGCCGGGAACGAAGTCGTTCCGGAGAAGATGCTCGCTATAAGCCAGAGCTAGAACTGCCCTGTGACGTGACGACACGATACTCCCGAACTAAGCTCGGGTATTGATACCGTAACTAACATAGGACGGTCACCCGGAATGGGCCAGACTACCACCAAAATCCCAAGGACTAGAGCGCTTGGCTAAAATAGGCGGTATGTCTCGGGTACCACACAACCACCACCCCTTCTCTCGAGTACCAACGTTACTGATTGACCGTTAACACAGACCTCCCTCGTTATCTCCACCTTTGCCTTCCTCTCCGCCCTCTGTCCGTCCATCACGGCTCCAACCCTCACGGTGATCAGCAAGGGCCTGGATGTCCCAAGCCGTGTCCGGCTTCAGCTCGCCCTGTCCATCTTCCTCTTCGCGTTTGCCCTCGGCCCCCTTTGTCCTCTCGCCATGCTCCTAAGTTTGGGGCCGCAGGCCCGTCATCCGGCTGGGCAATCCCATCTCCATCTTTCTCGTCTTCACCACCGCATGCGGGTTCTCCACGTTGCAGTCCCAGATCACAGCGTTCCGGTTCCTCACAAGCCTCGGTGGCAGAGCTAGTGCCGGGGTATGTTGAACAAGACGGGCGGTCGGCTACTCATACTGACATGACGACAAATTGGCGCCGCCATATTCGCAGGGAGTTCCATGATCACATATCAGTGCACGTCAACCTACTATGTACATCATGGACATATGCAATCTCTACTCCGTCTCGGCGTCGGTAGCGTGCGCTTTCCTCCGCGCTATGCTTTGGATTCTCATCTTTCCCTTGTTCGCCCCACCCCCCGTTTGGTTCTCTGGGCTACGGCTGGGGCACCAGCGTGCTGGGTTCTGTCGCCATCATCGTCGGTATACCAGCACCGCTGATTGTGTGGTTGGTTCTAGGGGTCAAGGCTCAGGGGCCGCGAGTAAGTTTGCAAAAAAGTCGTTGCCAGATAAGGTATGACTGCATCATGACAGAGAAAGAATAGAAAAAGAACAGAAATAATACGAGCATCCATCCTCCTTCTTCGACAGAAGCACCAAATAACAAGTTCCAAATCTGTAGAATGTCTGGACCAACCTCAAGGTTACCAGTCAGGCCGCTGCGCCTTACCTCTCCGGCCCAAATCCCTTGTCATCCAACTCGAATGATCCCGTCTCTTCACCCCCGCATACGTCTGACTCTTGTAGGGGCGCAGCCTGGGGACATGTATCTGTGCCTTGCGAGCTGCTGCAAGTTCGGTGTTAACAACGACTCAGATCATTTCACACGTGATATGTATGGCACGTCCTCTTCTTCCAAGGGAACTCGTTGCGTTCGTGCCGAGATATGGGCGCAGCTCATTGAGTCGAGCCCAGGTCGTACATACATACATACATACATACACATCCCCCGTCAATTGCGCGCAGTACATGCCCACTTCAGGAATCATATCTGTCTCCCAAACTCGTGCCAGCTAAAACACTCGCTGCTTCGGGAGAGCAGATGCTGCCGCTGACTGCTTGAGAACTCCGCACTTATATAAGGGGGCGAGTCGTCGCAGCGGACCCGGTACATCATGAATGCCATCGCGTTCCCGCACGTCAATGGCGGTGTCTCCAAGTCGATAGCTTTCCAAGTGGTTTTGTGCTTTTCCCGTCTGCATAGCCTCCAGCACTGTCTGTCTGGGAAACAATGTATCGGCCCAGCGGTGGTCTGTTCCAAGGCGTCTTTTGATATCGAGAGATGGGTTGGGTGGTAAGTAGGTAGGTTTGTGGTTTCTGTGTCGCGTATATTATATTGTCTTGTCTTGTCTTGCTCGGTTCGGTGCTATAGACTTTTCTCGACGGTGCTATAGATTGCGCGTTCACGAGAGCCAAGCTAGACAGAGAAAACGGCCTTGCCCCCCGTTAAGCTAACATAGGGGTAGGTGTGTATGGAAGGGGACTGTAGAAAGCTGTTTACAGAGAGCGGTCAAGTTCGGGTTACACCTCCCTGCTACGATATAACGACCACATCAAGCCGGCACGGGGAGTGGTGCCGTGGACTATCACGCCGAGGGATGTGTGATTATACTCAGGTAAGTCGGCCAGGAACGGTTCCTATGAACCACCCGCTCTACACTTGAGAAGTTACTCACGGTTCACTCCCAGCGCGAGTTCTCCTGCGGCCATTGTGGCTGGCTAGCAATCAAACACTGGTATGTACATATAGACATGCACCATCTCTGCAGGCTACGGACGTCTCAGCATAAACTCATAAGCGAAACAGCACCAAGTTCAAAGGCAAAACAAAAACGGCCCAGAGCACGTCTTGCCACCCGGATATCACGGCGTTTGAAGAGAGGTGAGTCAGTGCCCTTGAGAGCTTTGAGTCTTATCAAGACAGACTGGTTTCTGACTGGACTGAACAACAACGAAACAAATAGGCCGGTCTTTTGCGGCGAGTGCAGATTCCAGCGGGACCGTCTTCCGTGGGCATTTGTGTTGATGAAGAGGATGTTGGCGTCGGGTCGTGCTTGAGGTCTTGGGAGTACGGCCGGGGAGGGATTTATGGATGGAGGGGGGGTTGTTCAGGGGCTGGGACTTGTTGTTCATGATGCCAATGGGGTTGGCGTGGATAAAGTTATACTGCATACCTACTGTGTAGTGCATACCTACTGTGTAGTGCATAGTAACAAGGTTGGGGGCGGGGCATCTGAGGACGGGGAGCTGGGCATGGAGCCGAGATGACAAGCCCGTTTGCTTCTGATCACGGGTTCCACCCTCATCTTTCGTCCTGGGGTTTAGGAGATAATTGTATGTTTACACGATTGAGAGTCTTCTTTAGTTATCTTAGCTTCGGCCAGTTGCTGGATAATATGGCCGAGCTGCTGAGATGAATCCCATCTTCCTTTTTCCTTTTCAATCGCCGTCAATCACTCAATGAATGCACAAATTGAGTGTGGCATTACCGAGGCCGATTCTTCAGGGTCCAGGACCCTGAAGCAACCCGCGCGGCAATTGGTGGTTTTGGGAGAGTCCAGGCGGGAGTCCAAACGGAAGTGATCCCGGTCGGACCGAGAAGTGCGTCCGGGAAAGGGGGGGCTTGCCAACACATCACGAGGCGGCTTCTCGCGGGGAAGATGCCCCGCCTTGCATGCCCGACGAAGGAACCGGCCCAGATGTACTTGACCCCGCTGGGAGGGCAAGGAGGGAAAAAAAAAGAAAAGTGAGCGTTTGCGCTGACGGACCGACCAGCCGGCAGCCCGGTGCCCCGATCTGTGGGGTTGGGTGCAGCCTGAAGCTGGAAGCGGACCAACCAACGGCCGCCGGCGTTTTTCGTCACAAGCAATCTGCGGCGCACTTTCTAGTGGGTCGCAGAGTCGCGAGCAGAGGCACGGCACACCGACGGGGCTGGCACATCGGATTGCAGCTCTGCAGGTGCCTCCAGGGTCCACGCTGCGGGTTCTTCAGCAGGACCCTGAGATTTGACCGGGCATGGGATTTTGGGCCTGGGCGCCGTAATCTTTAACGTTGTCCACAACACATCAGTACATCAGCACGTCCTCGATTCGGCCTCTCTTCTCCCCTTTACTCTCAACTGAAACTCTGAAGAAAAAGCCGGCTGCATCTCACCACCTTTATCCCGTGCTTGCGACAGCGCACGCAACATACTGCCGACCAAACGAACGCTCAACCTGATAACAACGTTATGCCCTCAACCCTCGCCTGCTCCACAGCCGAAAACAAACGCCCAAGACTCCCCCGACACCGCATGGACCGACCCAAACACCCCTCGCGACGGTTCCTAGCGTGGTAGACGCTCCGGCGTTCACCTCCATCCCGATCCGATGCCGATGCCGACCATGACGAAGCTGCCCCCAGACCCTCTGTGGTCGGGAGGTGGTAATAATATCCCCGACAGCGACCTGCGCCCCCTCCAACTCACGAGCGAGTCCTCCTCCTCGTTGATATCTCCCCTGACGCTCCCTCGCGGAGTGGACGGCTACTTCGACCACATCATGTCGCAGGGCGCACCACCCTCCGCTCAGCTCCTCGGCGTGCCCTCCTCACACCAACAGTACCACCACCACCACCAACAACAACAACAACCGCGGGCCGAGGTCTACTCCCCCCTCTCGCCGGGCGCCAAAGGACCCCCGCCACACGCGGCGTCTTTCCTCTCGCCCCGCATGGTACCAGTCACGAAGCAGGCACAGTTCCAGCTGGACCAGCAGCAGCGGTCGAGCAGCCTGCCCCCGAAAAACCGCAGCGGCATCACATCCCCCCGGGTAGCACCACGGCCAATGCAAGATAACATGGCGTTTGGCCACATCAACGGCGGCAGTCTGGGTCAGAGTCAGGGTCAGGGTCAGGGTCATGGTCAGGGTCCGGCGCACGGCGCCAATAACGGGGCGGTCAGGTACCCCTCAGCGGATTACCACGCGCGGGCCGCGTACGCAGAGACGTCCTCGCAGGATTATATTGTGCAGCGGCTGCTCCAGCAAAAGGCGCGGATGCAGGAGGCGTGGGAGGCGGAGCGGAAGTACCTGGAGGCAAACCGGGAGCGGGCCGAGGAGGTGTACAAGGAGGAGCGGGCCCTGATGGAGGAGGAACGGTCTGAGTGGGATGCCGAGAAGGCGTTGCTGCTGGCGGAGATTGAGCGGCTGGGGGGGACTAACCCGCTGACGGCGGCGGCCCACGGCGCTCACCCATGGCCCGGGTCCTCCATTTTGTATTTGACCCAGCGCGGCGGCGGCGGCAGTGGAGGGGTGTTGTCACGGGTCAGTCCCAACAGTTCTCTCTCGTCCGAGAGGAACTCGCAATTATCCACGCAAAACGGCGGCGGACCCGGGTCACGGAATGCGTCGTCCTCGTCGTACTCCATCCCCGTGACAAGACCAGCCCCTGACCGGGTGTCGCCGCTGTCACCAAACGGCCCCCGGGATCCCCAACCCGATTTCCTCAAGCCGCCGCCGACGGAAGGATCCGACGCCGATGCCGACGCCGTGCCGAGTGTCGACGTGGGAGAGATCCACCCCGAGCTGGAAGGCATCCGGATTAAATCTACGAGCGTCAAGAAACCCACCTTTACCGATCCCGGGTCCCAACCCGGGTCTTCGTCCTCCTCCAAACAGTCCAGCCCCGCTGGCTCCCCCACCTCCGCGCCCGCTCCCCCCGAGCCGGCGAAGAGCCCGGAGACCAAAAAAGCGGCGCAAACCCTCCAGGTCCTAGCGGCCAAGGAGGCCGACCGGCTGACCATGCATGCCGGGCACACACCCAACCATTCCCTGTCCTCGCTGGCCACCGTCGTCTCCTCGGGGACGGCAACAGTGACTAGCAACGGCGGCGACAGCACCCCGACTACCCCATCCCCGTACCACAAAGACGATGCCGCCGCGCCTGGCCGGGATACCCCCACCGCTGACGCTGCTGGCGGTGGTATTGCGGTGCGCATAACAGATCCGGATGGGGCCGCACAGTCGGGTTTAGATATTACCGATGTACCCTCCGCTGTCAACGACAACGACAACAACAACGACCACCCCAACCCACACCTCCAACCCAGCGACGAAGCAGACCGAGAACTAAAAGGCCCGCTAATGGTGCGCAACATGCCGGCGCATGACGAGGTGTTTTTCCAGAAACTGTCCGATCGCCTGGAGGAGGTGAGCAAAGATGATGTGGCTGCTTTGCCGGCTGTGTTGAAGGATGCGGAGTCGGTAGCAGACACACATACCGAGCCGGCGGCGGATACGGAGACGGTGGGGGAGAGGGAGAGGGAGACAAGGACAGAGACCGATATGGAGACCTCCCGGGTGGCGGACATGCACACCTCCCGAGCAGCGGCGGAGCACGCGAAGGCCGAGTTAACCGACAAGACCCAGCTTGAAGGTGATGGCGATAAATCGGCTGCTTCGGATGATGGGTCGGATGATAGCAAGGGGAGTTCGGGCAGTGGTGGTGAGACAGGAGGGTTTGATGTGCCGTTGAAGTTTAAAAAGAGGATGAATTTTGGGGCGCCGTTTGGGGCGATGCGGTGATTCACTCACGACACCTCCTACACGGCACACTCTTACACGGCATACTCCTACACGGCACACTCCTACACGACACGCTCCTAACACCGGTACGGTACGGTACATACACACACTGAGCGGGAAAAAGCCTCGGATATCTTTTCATTTGTTTACGCCCTGTTTTCACCCGATACGGTTATTTGTTCCCCCTTTTCACCGGCGCGGAAAAGTTTGTACAGACACAGCATGGAGCGACAATTAGACACGGGGGAGGGGGTTCGTTTTGGGGATGGGATGGGACTGGAGTTTGATACATAGGTGGTTATAGCATGTGAAGCGAGACTGGTTGGTGTTGTCAATTTGCAAAGTTTTAGTAGGAGGGTTGGCTGGTAAAGGAGGGTTGGGAAGTCTAGTCGTGGTAGCTGCGCGCTTGTTTTCTCGGCGAATACCAATACCCCTTTTCTTTTGTACTTGCACTTGTTTCTCATGGCACTTGTTTTCTCATGGCGTATGTTGGGGGATTGTGGTATGGTTGCGGTATGGTTGCGGTGGCTGGTAGTAAGGGGGGGACGGAAAGTAAATAAAGAGTATTCCGAATTATCAACATACATATATCCCGGTGTATCAACAACCCTGGACTACTGCTGCGTATGAAACCTCCACCATTACATTACCTCTCTAACTATATGTTGTCTCTCTTAAACAACATATCCCCCTCAATGCACCCCCAAGTCTCCTATGTCTTTAAGTCCCCAAGTCTAGGTATCAAGACATCTTCTTCCCCATCAACTCGGCCAACTCATCCAGCAAATCCACCGTCTCCCCCGGACTCGCAATCCACGCCGTCGTCCCCACACTCCTCGCCCTAAAATCATTCGCCCCCGCACTCAAAAACTGATCCCCCACATGCAACGTATTCCCCCCCCTAATCGGTCCCTCCCCGTTAAACCCGCCCCCTCCTCCCCCGCCAAACCATCTCTGACAAACCGCCACCCCCCAACTCTTATCCCCAATATCCACAAACACATCCCTCCCTCCGTTAAACGCACAAAACGGCACTCTCCCCCCCCTCCCGGCCGCACTCAACTCCAACACCTTCTGCACCACCAACACCGTCTCCTCCAAACTCTCCCTCGGAATCCTTGCGCCAGGAGGGTCCGGTATAATCCCCACCGCTCGATCCTTGCGCATCAGCGTAGCTGGTAGGTTCAAAGTCTTGATACACTCCCGCAGGGCCGCCTCGGCGACGTCGAGGAGCTGGGGGATTTCGCCGTGGGTGTCCCAGGCGGCCATTTCGGGGGTGAGCCAGCGGTGGCGGGGGATGGGGGTTAGGAGGTGCGGGGAGGTGGGGGAGAAGGCGAAGAGGTAGTTGGCTTCGCCGCCCATGATGAGGAGGGATTGTTTTTGGGTGGGGGTGAGGTCGGGCGTGGCGGCGAGGGTGTCGAGGAGGCCGTGCAGACGGGCGTGGTATTTGTCGGCGGTGGTGTACCCGGCTGCGGTGACGATGCCGATTTTGACGTTTTTGCGGAGGAGGTCTGATGTTTTGTTAATATGATTTACCCATTGAGATGTGAACATGGAGAGAAGAGGAGAGAGGGGGATACCTAGTAAACGCGGAATAATCGGACTCGACGGCTCGAGGCTTTCCCCATCATCATACAGCGTCACATCACCGTCAAAGGTTGCCAACTGCAGCGTGCCGTACGTCGTGACGGCCATCATCTGTGCCGAGTTGAGGATCAGGCGGACGTCGTTGAAGGACGGCGAGACGAAGCGCCGAGACGAGATGTACCGCTTGCGGTCCTGGAACTTGAAGGCTGCCTCGAGTGGTAGGCGCGTGAAGAAGGGCCCGATGGTTGGGACTAGGAGCTTGAGTTTGGACGGGAACGGGTTGTTCGGGTCGTTTTGGTAGGAGACTGTCGGACACACAGTTAATCCGGTATTTGAGACGCAAGCATTGAGAGGCAAGTATAGAGAGAGAGTACTCACTGTGGTCGTCAATCATGACTTCAACATCCCGAAGGATCTCGCTGTATCGCCGGTGCGCTTCCTCCCGGGTCTGGATGAGCGTGTCCTCGCTCTGCCCATCAATGGCCCCGTGGGGTTGTGAGTAGAGCACAAAGGGCACGGCCAGCAGCCCCTTGATCCATTCTGCTCGGGTCAGCATCTTGCATACGCCCTTCGAGTTGGCCATTGGGGTTGAAGAACCAGGATCATACCTATGAATTGATCTCGCCGGTGAGTTTTGAGGGCGTCTGAAATCGAATTAGCTGACATCTTGCAGTAACTAAACCAGGACACTCACATTCAACGCGGTACCGAGTCGTCATGGTGAGGAATTTGGCACTGAAAGATGTTGGGAATAAGGGATTGGGATCAAGGGATTGGAATGAGTACTGTCGTATGTTCAGTTCAGCAAAAGAGTAGAAAGGAGAGAAGCAACAATCCAAAACTATCGGCGTTCAGATGAACCCAAAACAACCAGCTCCAAAAAAGGAAGAGGCTCGATCACGAGGCACAGTCCAGTCAGTCACCGCTCTGCGGAGTCCCCCAAAACGCCAACTCGGTAGGCTTGTCTGGTCGCAAAGCCTCTTTTGGGAATGGAGCTAATGGAGCTATCGGCTGACGCACTGCGGCATTGAGCTTGCTGGTCGAGGGGCCCTGCCCAATAATCTGAGCAGCATGATGTCACAGGGGCAGACCCAGCTGTGAACAACCCCAATCGGAGGAGCTTGAGGTGCTGTGAAGTGGCACTTGAGAAGCTTGGCCTTGGCGACGCTGTCAATCGTGCTGCATTGCTGATCGGGCCGCGGCGGGTCCCGCTGCCCCTGCGGCTGTTGGCGGTTGAGCTTCCGTAGCGGGCTGATAACACTGCCGCCAGCCGATGGATGGCCGATGGATGGCCGATGGACGACCTTCCACGAAGCACCACTCGATGTCAACTTTTGGGGCGGTAAGCAAGCACGCAATATATGTGTTATGGGCCAAAGCGAACACTGCCAGCTGTTGACTCGGTAGAGTACACATCACGGTCCGTAACAGGGAGAAACATCTCATGATAAGAGCACTGATAAGACCTTTCCGCATCGGTATCAATGGACAACAAGAGGAACATCACTTCAAACCAGGACAACCAGAATAGCTCCATTCAAATACTAGGTATGTATGCAACCAACCAATCCAATCCAATCCCTAACAATGCCATGGTATGTTCCGTATCCCACACAATAATAAAACACCTCTATCAGTGTCGCAAGGTTTAGCTTTGCTGAACAGCAGCGCACCTTGACACCTCCCGTAACTCCGTAATGTATGTACATCTTGATCAACTTAGGCTGCTTTCGTGTCCGCGGAAGGATCTGATTCATCCGTTTCCTCCTCTTCCATCCACGCCGAGTAGTCCTCGTCGGGGGTGGGCCCTGGGTCTGCAATTGCGCCGACAGCTTTATCTTGTACGGCCGCCTCCTCGGGAGACGGCAAACTTGACTGTGTTGACTCTGTTGACTCTGCTGACTTTGTTGACTTTGTCGTGTGCTGGGTATCATCCGGTATCGACGGCTGTGTAGCAGACTCATCCGTCGCTTCGGCTGCTGGAAGAGCATCTGGAACGCTATGTGTCGCACTCAGCGGCGTGGTAGGCTCGGATTCTGCGGGCGCCGTGACCACCAGCATGCCATTTTCCTCGCCTTCCTCCTCCGTCCGATGCTGCCGCCTCTTCGGGAGCGGCGGGGGCTGCACCGACGGGCGTTCACTTCCTTGCCTCGCCTGGTCCGGTTGACGTTCAGCCGTCGACAAAGGAATCGGTTTCCGCTTGGGCATTTGAATCGCCCCCGTCGAGCCCGTCTTTTCAGGCATTGGCAGTGGAGTACCGGGAGGCGGAAGTGGTTGACCACGTCCCATGGGCTGGCTTAGGTCAAGGCCAGAGGTGCCATCACCCGCCTTCCCATTTTGCGGGCCATTCTCGTCATTGTTGCGGCGCTGGAAGGCGTTGAACCCCCACCGTTTGGCAGAGCCCGCTGCGTTGGCGATTGTGTTCAGGGTTGTCCGCTTCTGCGTCTCGGCCGTGGTTTGGGAACCGACTCCTGAAGAAACAGACGAGGCCGTGTCCCGGCGGCTGAAGAAGCTTCTCGACGTTGGGCGCCCTGGCCCGCGGACCGAGCCTTTGAGGGACGGTGTGGGGGACTGGGACCCGTTGTCGCTCTGGCTTTCTGTAGACGAAACAGTATTTCGTCGCGCCTGTGGGGTCTTGTCGGTGTCCTTCCCAAGATCGGTCGAGTCTTTATTCACGCTCGCTGATGAGAGGTTGGTTGATTTGGAGGTGGTGTAAGGCTTGAAAGCGTTCGGGTTCGACGCCTGGGTTGTTGAGTGCGTCGGCGACGGGGCGGGGAAGACGGCAGAGGCAGGAGGAGTCGTCGATAAACTTGCCATGGCGGACATAGCGGAGTCGCCGTTGGGAGGGGACGATGACGGTCGGAATTGGTCCGCATTGGTGGCGATGGTTCCGATGGTGGGAGAGGATGGTTGTGCGAACGGGGCCGAGAGCACCGGTGGAGGTGAGCCCATCTCGCCTTTGGTCTCGCTTTTCGTTTCGACGCTGGTAGATGATACGGAGGGAGATGAAGCGAGATCCGTCTTGCTCGTCTTGCTGGACAACTTTTTCCCAAATAAACCGATAGATGGCCGTTTATCAAGCACCGGCAAGCTGTAGCTTTTCTCAATGGATGGGATATCGGACTCTTGAATCCCTTGGTTATCCTCGAGACGATCCACCTCGCCCAAGTCCCCTTCCTGAGCGGCCGCCGCCTCAGGGCTGGTCGGCACCTTGACAGTGTCGTCGTGAAAAATCCCACCTCGCCACTTCTTGTGTTCGGTGTCAAAGAAAGGGGTGTCATCCCAGAATGGCAACACTAACGTCTCGGCAATGACCTCCTTGATCCGGTTCTCAATCTGACGGAGGATTACCGTGTACGTGATCTGCCGAGAGCTGACGATAGGTTCAATCGTCATCTCAATTTTCGGCATCTGCTGAAACGAGAACCACACGCGGTTGCTGGGTGGCGCCTTGATCTTGAAGAGAACATGGCCTTCGAGCTTCCTCATGACAACAGCGAGGACAAGATTGACCTCCCTCGCTTTGAAACGTGTACCCAAATCGATGCGAGCTGTGGCCGCAACCTCGAGCCGAAAGTTTCCTGTGTAACGCACATCGGCTTCGATGCCACACTCTCCCTCAACTGTGAGGTCTTTAAGACGCGGATTCGTAATGTACGGTGCGGAATCGCCCGTGTCGATGTTCTTGATGGTGATGTTGGACAAGAAGGCCGGACGCTTGACCCGTGAAATCTTCTTGGTCAACTTTTCCCGGATAAAGTTTTCCACGTCCTTGGTCTTATGCACACCCAAAAACACCCTCCCGATCATGGCATTGAGCCATCTTGTCTGCATGTGCTCCTCGGACGAGTGTAGTTTCTGAACCAGTGAAATCATGTTTTTCACGTCGAACTGGATCGGCGTCGGGACCTCGGGACCCTCGGTCGCCACAGCCTGTTCTTGGTTTCGGAGCATCGCAAAGTAGAAGTCCTCTTTCGCTGAACAATTTTCGGAGAACAAATAGAATGGTTTCGAAAGCTGGCCATCTGGGCTCAACGGTGGCTCAGAGGCACGACGGGAAAGACAGATGGCGTTGCGCTTGATGTATAGCTCGCCTTCGGGTGTGACGGGTTCCCCAGAGTATATACTGATGTTGTGATGGGACAGAGATATGACATGGCGGACCTCAAGCTGTTCATCGTCGTCGAATAGCATCAAATGCCCGTGTCTGCGGAGATGATTAGGACGGGCACATGCGAACATGGCACAAGCCGGGAGGGTGCATTGCATACCTGAGCACCACATAGAAAACGTTACCAGCTTTCTTAGGGCGCTGGCTGCCGCTGTTGTTCTTGTTATCTAACGGGCCGGGTGTCGGCTTCCGATCGAAGATGCTGCGGTACATCGTCTGATAGACGCTGGGGCTTGGGGCCGCTACCGTGGCCGAACCAACGGGCGTCGCGCGTTCAATCGGTTTCGCGTTGATTCCCATGGGGGTGTATTCACGGCAGACGGCAAAGTAGCCCGCGGCAACGTCCTGCTCCTTGCGGACCGTCCGCGCCTTGGTTCCATCCTGTTGCGCGGCTTTGAGGAGCTTGATGTCGTCGCCAGGTTGTACGAGGTCATCATCCGCGCCGGACGTCGACGGGCCGACCGCATCTCGTCGGACCGGGAGAGTGACATAGGCATGGGCGAAAACGACAATTACGAGTAGCGGGAGAAACGTGACGCCGCCGAGCAGGTACGCCCAGAGGAACCCGGACCAGCTCATGGTGTTTATCGGTTGTTGATTATGCACTTGCGGCGGCAGCAGAGTTGACAGACCGTCGGCCCTGCTACCTGCCAAGCGGAGGGAGGAATTGCGGGCGCATTGATCTTAGTGACCAAACTTTGAAAATGCTGGTTACCGCTCAAGACGATGGGTCACTAGGCAGGGGGAATTGCTTTGGTTTCGGCCGGACCAACAAAGTCATTGTTGATGACAGACAGCACCTGGCACAGCAGCTCCAGTGGTCATGGCGTCAGCCACAGCGGCGCGACAGTGAGCGCTTGGGCCTAGATTCCCCGCGTCGCCTTGAGCCGCTCGAGCCCCGCCAGGGTTCCTCGGCCTCTCCTAGCGGCCAACAGGGGAGCGAAAACACGATGGTCAGGCACATGGTTCCATGGAATATTGAATAAAAGGGGCATTCATGCATTGGAGTCGTTTCGTTGCTAGTCCCATGACTTCGTATCGAAAATGGATACGGGGCTTTTGAAGCGACACTTACTCAGCCGACAACTCTCAACCAAGGGGATTCATTTATTGGAATGACCTCTTATCGTAGGTAGTTCGGCCTGGTGTGTTAGGATTGGCCCACTCTTGGATTTGGTATTTAAGCCATTGAAATTGAGTTCCATAAGGCTGTGGGGGCTGCTCGGGACGTAGTGTACAGGCCAGAGAACGCTTAAGAAAAGGAAAGCCCGGTCAAGACCGAAGTCAACCGTCAATTCCTTTTGACGTCTCCTTACAGACTGTCACCCTCGAAGAAACCACTTCGCCGGGCTTCGCTTGAGGTTTGTGCCCGGATAGATAGACAAGAAGGATTCTGCGAGTTGCTTTGGCCATGTCATTGGTATTTTGTTGTTCCTATGAGCACTCCCGCATCCCAAACCAAGTCCATACAGGAGATCCTTCCGTGCCGAACGCGATGAACCCCATGCAGAGAGAAAGCACCAAGCCATATCTAACCCCACCAAATACGGCACCCCTGCCACGAGTTCTCCCTTAAATCGTGGTCTCGTACGCAACGGGCGCGACAGTCTCCGGCTTGTTGTACTCGGACGGGATCGTGCGGGCCTCACGGGGCAGGGCGGGTTGCCTCTTGAGCTGCACAGGCTTGCCCTCAACCTTGACCTGCTTCTTCAACTCGGCGTTCTCCTTGACACGGCGGAGGAAATCCTCCCGTGACCGCGAGGGCTGGATGTGCTCGATACGGACGTTGATGCGCTTCTCGAGGTACCGGTGCTTGACCTTCTTGTAGATGATGATGCCGACCGCCGACTTGGTGACGTTGTAGATGACGCCGGTCTTGCCGTGGTAGACCTTGTGGGCCATACTGTGTTGTGTCCAAAATCAGTCTCTTGTTCCCATTCTTCCTCTGAGGATCAAGATGCAACCGAGTGTGCAGTCGTGTGTGTGTGTGGTTGGTCTTCGTCTCCCTCCCCTTTTGCCCGCCCCTAATGATTTCGATCGATTGGAAAATTGGATTTTCGCTTACCCCTTCTGAACAGCACCGTTGACCTTGATGTCGACGATATCGCCAACCCTGCAGCTCGGTTAGCAAACGTTCTCTCCAATTTCCGCCCCGTCGTTCGTCGCGTCAACATACTTGTACGTCTTCAGGTAGGTCGAGAGCCTGATCATACCCTTCTCCCGGAAATTCCGAGAGAAGGCATATCTCGTACCAGCACGGAGACCTGCGGGGTGACCCATCTTGGCTATTTGCTGGGTGTGTCGACGGGGTTCGATATGTCGAAGTCGGTGGTTGCTGCAGGCTGCGAAAATTGGGGATTTTTTGTGTGGAAGCAAATCCAAGTCGGATTTCGGAATGGGTGACTAAGCAGGGTGCAAACGCTTTGGCCACTTCGCCAGCCCGCACCACTCACAAGTTATCATTAGGGCAAGCAGCTGCGATACGCACGGACCACCACAAATCCCCTCCAATTTTCCTTGACAACCTCCAAGGCTTGCTGCAACTTTTGCGAATTTCTGCTTGGACTCGACCAACCTTTGACAGCCTCAACGACAAGATGGCGCCGCGTTCGTACTCCAAGACCGCTAAGGTCCCGCGTCGCCCCTTCGAGGCCGCTCGTTTGTGCGTTTGATCCCGGTTTTTACCATTCCTCAATTGCAGCCTCTGCGTGACGGGCATATCGCGCCATCGCGAAACGCCCGTCTTGTGCGCATGCTTGCAAACATCACCGGCCACTGAGCAGCAGCTTGTCTCTGCCCATGTCGATTGTGATCGTGGACTAACCTTTCGGCACTACAGGGACTCCGAGCTGAAGCTCGTTGGCGAGTATGGTCTCCGCAACAAGCGTGAGGTGTGGCGTGTGCTCCTCACCCTCTCCAAGATTCGTCGTGCTGCCCGGTATGTGTATTCTCTTATGGGGGTGGTGTTGAGCGAACACGGAGCTAATAATATTTGTGCCAACAGTGAGCTTCTCACGCTCGACGAGAAGGACCCCAAGCGTCTCTTCGAAGGCAATGCCCTCATTCGCCGTCTGGTCCGTGTCGGTGTGCTCGACGAGTCCCGCATGAAGCTCGATTACGTCTTGGCCCTGAAGGTCGAGGATTTCTTGGAGCGTCGTCTCCAGACCCTCGTCTACAAGCTCGGTCTCGCCAAGTCGATCCACCACGCCCGTGTCCTCATCCGCCAGCGCCACATCCGCGTCGGCAAGCAGATCGTCAACGTTCCTTCGTTCGTCGTCCGTCTCGACTCCCAGAAGCACATTGACTTCGCGTTGACCTCGCCCTTTGGTGGCGGCCGCCCCGGCCGTGTCAGGAGGAAGAAGGCCAAGGCCGCCGAGAAGGGCGACGGTGACGAGGAGGAGGAGGATGACGAGTAAATTTAAAGGCTTTCATCATGGGAATGGTTGGGACTGCACGGAGCCGGCTACGAAAATTGGTCTGGGCGGAGACTTTTCACCTCTGCATCATGCTCTTACGGCGTTTATAGTATGGAGTGGGAATGCATCTCAAGATTTGCACGTACGCTATACGCAGCAGGTCTCCAATCATGAAACGCCTTCCCCTACTGGGGCCCATAATGTTCATTGCTCCGCCGCCGTATTACTCTTGTCCGTGAAGAAGTTCTCTTGGAGTCAAGCACTTCAAGGCACCAGGAACTTCTAAAACTGAAATAGTGTGCTGTGACTTGAGTCGCATTATTTAGGGTATCGTTTTAACTGTCTTGCCCACTCCCATCCTCGCCGCCTTCCGTCCCATGTTTATCCCACGAACCAGCCTGTTTCGCCAACTGTTTCCCAGTGTCGCCGGTGCAATAGCTATTCTTAACAAACGAGTGGCAGCATGCATAACCCCACTTGAAGTCAGACCACCAACTGCCCCAAACAGACGTATGGTTGTTGATGAGCACATCCTCTGCGTACTTAGACTTGGCCGCCTTCCTTGGTGCGCCCTTGATCAGGCCCGCCTCGTCATACTCGACAAACGTCTCCGACTCGGTGATGGCCACCTTGAGCGCTTCCGGTACGACGGGCTGCTCGCCGTACTGGCTCGCGAGCATCTCCGCCCTCTTCCTTCGTTTCGCCTCCCGCTCCTCGCTCTCTCTCTTTCGCATCAGCGCCCCTGCGGTGGGGTTAGCCTGCAGATGCAATGAGGTATCTCCTGTCTTTTCTTGCGCTTCCCACGCGTATTTCTGGGCCTTTTCAAACTCGGCGGCTTCGCCGGACGCGCGGAGGAAGCTTTCTTCAGCAAAGAGCTGGGAGGATTTGTCGCCTAGCGCGCCGCCATCGACAAGGGCGCGCTTTTTCGGGTTATATTTGGCCGAATCGGGGTCCAGGTTCAGGAGGTACTTGGCCGTGTCTTCCCTGATACGCATGGATTGCTTGACGGTCTTGTCCTTGCCCAATTCCGACTCCTCGGCATACTTGAAGCCCTCCTCGTACACATCTTTCCCGTCCGTCTTATCGCCATTTTGACCTTGTAATGCTCTCCTTGCCTCCTCTATCAAGTTGTACTCCTCCACCACTTCCTTGTACTGCTTGGGATCGTAGGCCGCCCAAACATCACGTTTCGCTTCGTATCCCAACTTCACATCCCGCGCGGTCCGGTCGGCCTGGATATCCTTCCCCGTGAACTTGGCGCCGACTTTCCGGGGCCGCTCGAGACAATCCTTCTTCTTGTGGTCCATGGCGCCGCAGTTTTCGCACGCGCCCTTCACCCATTTTGTCCGGGCCGCGCCGGCCTTCTTGCCTCCCCTCTCGAATGTGAAATTTTCGGCGTCTTGGGCGGCACGCCGTTGATGTTGGAGGGAGTCGTCATGGTCGTCGAGCCCGCTGACGTAGAAGGGCTGTTTGCTGATGTAGGAGGGGATGTAGATGTTGTCTTCTTTGCGTGCGGCGCCGGCGCCGGAACCGCTGTCTGCACTGGCAGCGGCCGTCGCCGCTGAGGCTGTTTCTGGCCGACGTGGAGGTGGTGGTGGCATTGTGGGTGTTGATAAGAGTTTTCCAGATTCCAACGGTGTGCGTTGGTTAACGGGGATATTTCCGTGGTGATGGGAAGAAGAGTGGACGCCAGTGTCGCGACTAAAGTTAAGAGGTGAGATAATGCATTAAAATAACCCTAACCCTGTAAATATTCCCCGACCTCCACTTACATCACCACAACCACTTCTCGAATCATGATTTCTCGACGTTTTACTTACGGTTAAAGGTACTACTAAAACGCCTTAGCAACTCATATTCATGCAAGTTCCGTCCCGGTCTCCGGATACCGGTTTCGTTCATTTTGAGCGTGCGTTTCACGTGTTTTGGCGAGTTTGCTGCTCCACTGCCGTGCAGCGCGGCGCGTATTTGGAGCCTGCAGGCGCGTCGCAGCCTGAAGTTTTGCGACATCACGGCTGCGCGTTTTGCGAACCACCAAGTTTTACGTTTGGATTTTCAGTTTAGTTTTCTTTGTGATTTTGTATATTCTAAAATGAGAACCATCTCATTTGCTCGGTTACCCGACGCGGAGATTCCAGACCACCCCCAAGATGGACACATTTCGGGTGCGCCTCAACTGCATCGACCACTACCAAGCGGTGCCAACCCGGTATGACCCCCAACTGCGGAAGGACGATGGCCACTCAGACCCTGCTCGACAGCCAAAAGTGCCCGTCATTCGCGTGTTTGGGTCGACCGAGACGGGACAGAAGGTTTGCGCTCATATCCATGGCGCATTTCCTTACCTCTACATCGAGTATCAGGGGCCGCTGGACAAGCCAACTGGTGGGTACTTGGATCCCTTCATCGAGACTGAGAACCAATGTTCTAACGAACGTGACATAAAGTGTCTGAGTACATGTACAAGTTGCATCTTTCCATCGACCATGCCCTGGCCGTCAGTTACCGCAGGGATCACCAGCGCGACAAGTTCGTTGCTCGTGTGACCCTTGTGAAGGGGATCCCGTTCTACGGTTTCCATGTCGGGTATCGGTTCTACCTCAAAATCTACGTGCTCAACCCCGTTGTCATCTCCCGGCTGGCCGATATCTTGCAGCAAGGCGCAGTCATGGGCCAGAAGTTCCAGCCTTACGAAGCACACCTGCAGTACCTGCTCCAGTTTATGGCGGACTACAACTTATACGGTTGCGACTATCTCGACGCCAAAAATGTCATGTTTCGATCCCCTGTTCCAGAACCCGCTGGACCGGGTGAGCCGCCACGGATTTGGGACAGCAACACCATTCTCCTGAGCAGCATCACCAATGATGTCCGGCTTCCACGGGCAAGCCACTGCTCCATCGAAGTGGATATCTGCGCCCAACACATCTTGAACCGGAATTCCGTAAAAGAGCGGCCGCTACACCACGATTTCGTTGAACGAGAGCGTCCCATCCCCACCGATTTGAAACTCGTTCACAGCATGGCTGGGCTGTGGAAGGACGAGACGAAGCGTAGGAAAAAGCAAATGGCAAAATCTAAACTCGGAGACAGCCCGTTTCCGCCAGAAGCGCTGGTTTCCATGTCTGCAGATCCCCGGGATTCGCAACCCCCAGGCTGGATCAACGAGGAGGAATACCAGGAGCAAGTTCGACAGCTAGTCGCGAAGGAGGAGGGGGAGGAGCACGGGACAGAGTTGGACTTCTCCAATTACGTCAAGCAGGACCCGAAGGAGCCGTTGATTCCGACTACGCTCCAGTCTGTCGAGGACCTGTACCCGGAAAACTTACGGCAAGCTCTGGGGCTGGAGCGGAAATTACTGCGAAACGCCGACCTTATTAGCAGCATTCAAGTTGATGAAAAGGGGATCCTTGAACTTGAGGCGCCCGGGAATGGAGATCGGAAACTCCCAGATGGGTTGGATGAAGGGCAGAAGAAAGGTTCCGACACGTACGATAAACCCGACCTTGCTGCGGAGCTGGGGCTGCCACTCGAGGGCGTTGATGAGGGGTTTGGTGTCAGTGGTCTTCGCTCTGGCAGGCGTCCTTGTGTTCCACTCTCGAGGGACCTGCTTTTATCGGCAAAGGCTCTCGGGCTCACATCTAAAGTGGACGATATCCAGAAGAAGATTGAGGGCGTGGAACGCGTGAATTTGAAGCGCTCAACGTCTGTATTGGAACCAGGCTCTCCACGGAAACGACCCAAGCGCGAGGACTCAACCGGGACCACCAGCCGAGCCGTTGTCGAGGACCGTCTCCCTAGCCAGAATGTGGTCATGGCTAAGGCAGACCAGGCAGTTTCTACATGTACACCACCGCAGACTCAAACACCGTCCTCACAACAACAACATTCCGTCTTGAAAGGGGGCTCCCAGAAATCCCAAGGGAACCAAACCCTCAACTTTCCAATTGTTAAAGATCCCCAGGAACCAAGTACAATCTTCAGGCTTGCCCAGCAAAGTGCCTCGCAGCGGAGTGATGGGGGGATACCAGGATCAATGGGAAAACAAGTGTCGTTCAACTTTTCGGTGTCTCTGGACGAGTCCAGCCCCAAGTTCGGTCACTCGGGCTTGGGAGAACCGCAGTCTGTATCGGAATCACCGGGCACGCCCCCGCCACCCAAACTACACTGGGCTGGCGATACCACAATGTTCCTTGTTAGCACGCCACCGCCATCCGCCTCGGAGGTCATTTCCACCATGCAATCGTATGGTCTTCCAGACGTTATCTACCAAGAGGCCTTCTACAGCAACGATGATGATGTACCGCCGCGACCAAGAGAGTACGCAGGGAGGGAGTATCGACTGGGTGGCAACAGTCTCCCCTATCTGCCCGATTTTGATCCCACCGGTACCTCTCCAGCGACGTTCGGCGCTGATCCAGAGCTGGCCCCTGATTTCGGCGCGATGGAGGCGAGGTATGAGAGGCAGAGGGATCTGTGTACCCTCAGAAGTTGGGAGATTGCGGAGCCGCCACCGTCGTTCGCTGAGGTGAGCGGTTGGTGGGATGAGAAGCAGAAGAAGAGGAAAGCTCAAAAGGGCGGTTCTGGTCGGCCACCTGCAGCGACACAAACAAGGAAACCCGCTTTGCTTTCTCAAATTATCGGCCCAACGCCACAGAACACGCACGGCTTCAAGTACTCGCTCAAGCAAAAATCGGCCAGTGTTCGGTTCGAGGCACAGTACATGAGCACGATGAGTCTCGAGGTCCATGTCAACAGCCGCGGAAAGCTGGTCCCGAACCCCGAGGAGGACGAAGTCCAGTGCATCTTCTGGTGTCTGAGATCCGACGAGCAAAGCCTCTTTGGCACTCAAGAAGGCAAGGATGCCACCATCTCCGGTATTGTCGTTCTCTCGGCGGGAGACGGTCGTCTCGCGCAGCATATACGTAGCCAAACAACGGGCGTGGAGGTGGATGAAGAGAACTCCGAGCTGGACCTCATGGTTAAGATGGTTGATATTGTGCGGGCGCACGACCCGGATATCCTGACGGGCTACGAAGTTCACGGCGGCTCTTGGGGTTATTTGGTGGAGCGAGCGATGCACAAGTATGAGTTTGACCTGTGCAGTGAGTTCTCGCGGACCAAGTCGGACTCGTTGGCCAAGAAGAGCAAGGACGGCGATCGATGGGGATTCAGGACGACATCCATGCTCCATGTGACGGGGAGACACATCATCAACGTCTGGAGAGCGATGCGGGGCGAGCTCAACTTACTCCAGTACAGCATGGAGAATGTGGTTTGGCACCTCTTGCATCGCCGGATCCCGCACTACACGTGGCGGACTCTGTCGGATTGGTACGTCAGTGGCCGGCCGAGGGATCTCAGCAAGGTGCTGCGCTACTACCTTCAACGGACGCGGATGGATATCGAGATCCTCGAAGCGAATGAACTGATTCCACGGACGAGCGAACAAGCGAGACTGCTGGGGGTGGACTTCTTCTCCGTCTTCTCTCGAGGCTCACAGTTCAAGGTCGAGTCCATCATGTTCCGGATTGCGAAGCCGGAGAATTTTATCTTGGTCTCACCGAGCAGGAAGCAGGTCGGGGGTCAGAATGCGTTGGAGTGCTTGCCCCTGGTGATGGAGCCGCAGAGTGCCTTCTACGCCAGCCCACTGCTCGTTCTAGATTTCCAGAGCCTCTACCCCAGCGTCATGATTGCGTACAACTACTGCTACTCCACGTGTCTCGGCCGCGTGGTGAGCTGGCGCGGTACCAACAAGCTGGGCTTTACCGAATACAAGCGGAGGGAGGGCCTCCTTAGTCTCCTGAAAGACCACATCAACATCGCCCCGAACGGCATGATGTACAGCAAGCCGGAGATCCGCAAGTCGCTGCTCGCCAAGATGCTGACGGAGATCTTGGAAACCCGAGTGATGGTCAAAAGCGGCATGAAAGAGGACAAGGACGACAGAACCCTGCAGAAGCTCCTCCACAATCGGCAACTCGCCCTCAAGCTGCTCGCCAACGTCACCTACGGATACACCTCGGCCTCCTTCTCCGGCCGGATGCCGTGCTCCGAGATCGCAGACAGCATCGTCCAAACCGGCCGCGAGACGCTCGAGCGCGCCATCGCCTACATCCACTCCGTGGAACGCTGGGGCGCCGAGGTGGTGTACGGCGACACCGACAGTTTGTTTGTCTACCTCAAGGGCCGCACACGCCAGCAGGCCTTCGACATCGGCGCCGAGATGGCCAAGGAGATCACCAACATGAATCCCCGGCCGGTGAAGCTCAAATTCGAAAAAGTCTACCACCCGTGCGTGCTTCTCGCTAAGAAACGCTACGTGGGCTACAAGTACGAGAGCCGCGACCAGACGGTGCCCGAGTTTGACGCGAAGGGTATCGAGACCGTGCGTCGCGACGGCACGCCCGCGGAGCAGAAGATCGAGGAAAAGGCCCTCAGACTCCTATTCGAAACCGCCGACCTGAGCCAGGTCAAAGAGTACTTCCAGTCCCAATGCTCCAAGATCATGCAAGGCTCCGTCTCCATCCAAGACTTCGTCTTCGCCAAAGAAATCAAACTCGGCACCTACAGCGCCAAAGGGCCCGGTCCGCCGGGCGCACTGATCAGCACCAAACGCATGCTCGAAGACGCCCGGGCTGAGCCGCAGTACGGCGAGCGGGTGCCGTATGTCGTGGTCTCGGGGGCTCCCGGGGCGCGGCTTGTCGACCGCTGTGTTCCGCCGGAGACGCTCCTCAACAACCCGCACACGACGCTGGATGCGGAGTATTATATTTCCAAGAACCTCATCCCGCCGCTGGAGCGGATCTTTAACCTCGTCGGTGCCAATGTGCGAGCGTGGTTTGATGAGATGCCCAAGGTTCAGCAGGTCCGCCGGATCGAGAACGCGCCGGGGGCTCACCATAACCATAACCATAAACGCAACGGCAGCAGCGTTGTGGGAGAAGGCGGTGCTAGCAAGACCAAAGACACCGGCGGCAACAGCAGCAAAAAAACCCTCGAATCCTTCCTGACCTCCACCTCCTGCCTCACCTGCGGCGTAAAAATGTCCACCACCACCGCCACCACCACCACCGCCCTTCACGACGAAACAGAAACAAACCACCACCTCCTCCACCAAACCCTCTGCAACCGCTGCGCCTCTCACCCCTCTACCACCTCCTCCCTCCTCCGCACCAAACTCACCACCCAACAGCGACAGTACACCGACGTGGTGAAGGTGTGTCAGAGTTGTGCGGGGTTTTCCCCAGCTGATGTCCATCCCGGCACTAATGGGGGCGGTGTTGACGGTGCTGGTGACGGGGGCGGTGATAGGGACGGTGATAGGGACGGTGGGGATGGGGACGGCGGCGGCGGCGGGGTGCCGTGTGATAGTCGGGATTGTCCGGTGTTTTATACGAGGGTGAAGATGAGGAGTAGGGTGAGGGCGGAACGGGGGGTTGTTGGGCCGGTTTTGGGGCTGTTGGGGAGGGTGAGGGGGAGGAGGGAGGGGTTGGATTGGTGATGGCTAGGGATTGGATGACTGACTCTATTCTGCTTGTGATGGTTGTGGTGTGAAGCATGATGGGTTTGGGTTGGATGCATTTGTTGTTGTTATTGTATCGTCTTGGATGTGGTTGTCATAGCGATAGTGGGCGTATTGGATGTCTGTTACGACGCATAGCATGGGTTGATGGCGGTATGAATTCGGTGAGGTGCATTTGGTTATGGCTTTCGGAGTTGGAACTCATGTGTCGTGAATCTGTCATGGAGCGAGATAATTCCATGCCCGTGAGAAACCTACACAGTATCGTAACGTAAAATGATAAATCCTACACGTAACGGTTCATGCATGCGGCGACAGACTCAATTTACGTGAAACGCTCAGGTAACCCGCGGTGGTTCGGAAAGAGCCCGAGACATGGTATCTCGTTTTGATGTCCAACAGCCAAGCAGGCCAGCCCAGATCGCCACGACATAAGACAAGCAGCATCCCACAAAAACCACGGATAGGTATCTTTCATGGCGTTAACGGCGGTGTATCGAACGGACGGCGGGGCTCCTCCTCTGAAGGAGAGAAAAGCATGATAGGAAACTTGTTTTTCGTAGAACTGGGTTGATACCTGTTGGCAACGGTTGAAAGGGAAAAAAGAAAACATCCACACCGGGCGTTACACGTTGGGTTTTCTCGTTACAATCAGGGGTTTCCCGTCATCTCCCTGGGGGAGAGCGAAAATCCGTCGAGCGGAGAGACGTTCAGAACTGTGCCATTGCGGACCCCCGGTCCGGATTTGACCGTGGTTCGAGATAATTTTGACTCATTTTGCTCACTCCTGCCATCTCCGGGAAGTGGATCATTAAAATCCAGCGTTGAAAGGACCGGTTTGTCAGGACTCGAGCCTTATTTTTCAGGGCCGGAGAGGGCCTCCGATTCCGACCACACACGTCAGGTAGGAAACTCAAAAGGTTCAGGAAGGGTGCGGTCTCGAGGCAGGAGCCAGGCGCCGAGCCGGTTTCCATGCCGGAGGAATTCTCCTGACGGTGAACAACTCGCAGCCCGGCTCCTGTGAAGACAAATAACCACCTTTGTATTGACAACAATTATGAACGGATGAGAATTGATTCCTTCCGTTGACTCGCCGCTGGAACCGGACGACTCTGATTTGGATCGCTCGTTGCACCAGATGAGAGCAGATTGCAATGTTCCACGGTCATGTTCGAGAAGACCCGCTCGCCGTCCGGACTCGCTGAAAATCAGCGGAATCGCAGGCAGCGGAGACTCAAACCAGCTGGTGGCTTGGCGTTGAACCGGGGGCTGAATTGTCCACGATTTCGCTGCCTGAGGCGAAAAGGACAAGCAACGGCCGAAAATCCTCTTTTGGTGTGCGCCGACGACGGCTCTAACTAACGTTAACGTTATCGCTCGCCCCTCAACCACGACAACGGTTCAGCAGCCTCGTGCCCTCTCATCGCTGCTGGTGTTGCAGTTTCCCCCCCCATCCCCCCACTGCACTGTCGTCGCCCCGATTCCCGTTTGTTTTCATTTATTTTATTTTATTTTATTTCTCTCATTATTTCACCGTAGCAGCCCGTGCCTGCCTGAGTGAGTGAACTCTTGGCTTGCGCGAGACCACTGTTGCGCCCTCCTTTGTTTCGGTGGGTTTTGTTTGGAGCCGTCTGATTTGCTGGGCCCGGCGCGTGTCAGCTGCAATCGCAACCCCCCCCCCGGATTTCCGATCGTGTCCTTGCCTTGCGGTTGTGCAGAAGTCAACAACATTTTGCTCGAGGGGTCGCGTATTCCGTCCCTCTCGCAGACCAAGGGCATAACGACGACTTCTTCGACCAACTCGACGCCGTCTCTTCGCTTTCTTTGGCTCTGTCTTTCGTTTGTTCACTTACGACATAATCAAACACGTTTTTAATCGATTTCTTCTTTGGTTGCGACACTTGTTTTTTATTCTTTCTTCATTCTTCCCACTCCTTCTTGACGACCAAACTCTCCTTTTTTTCACTTTTCTTTATCTGTGCTTGTTGTTGCGACGCGATCCATCGCCTTTCCACATGCTGGGCTTGTTTTGGTAGACAGAGACAGATTACGCTTGACCCGCCGCGAGAAAATACCGACATTTGGGGGCCTCCGATTTAACGGCGTGCAGGCCTGCCAAAGCCGTTGACCATGGCCACCACTCTCTTTTCCGACGAGCCTGATGCGGCCTCCACGGCCGACCATGGGTTCGACCCCTTTCTGACGAGCCCCTCGGGACCGACCCATCTACGGCACTCCAACTTCGATACGAATCTCTTTGCCCTGGCCCCCGGCTCTTCCGCAGAGCAGGTCAAGCGAGCGATCCAGGCGCACATCCAGGACACGGAACGGCGGATGGAGGAGGCAGGGAAGCTGGGTACTGCGCTGGTTCATCAACAAAAGCAGCTCACCGACAAGCTCCGCGAAGTCGAACAGCTTCAATCCGAAGCTGAGCTGAACCCTGAACTGCGGCAGCGTCTTGTTGACATCGAGAAGGATTACAATGAGGTCGCACGAGACAGCGCTCGGGCTTTGCTGCCCAAGCAGAGAATACCTAGCAACGAAGCACCCGCTTCGCCGTTCTCTCCTGACAAGAGTGTCGCAAGGGTAGGTTTGTCCTTTATGTGTTGCCAGATCCGAGTGTAGTGTTGATGGGTTGAACCAGCGTTCCGTGAGTCCTTCCAAGTTCGAGACCCTCGCTGCGCCCTCGCCGACCAAGTTCAGCGTCCCGAATCGCAAGTCCCGCAACCAGCCCTCGAATAGGATTCACGACATCGAGTTTGCTGCCGAAATCAGCACTTCGTTGATTGCGCAGGTGCGGAATTTGCAATCCTTGCTCCAGGAGCGGGAGGAGGAGATCAAGGAGGTCAAGGCGGAACGGTCCCAGCTGGAGATCGAAGCCGAGGGGTTCCAGCAACGGCTCAAGACTCTGGATGAGAGTGAGAGCCGGTACAAGGATGAGAACTGGAATCTCGAGACCCAGATCCATGAGTTCATCGCGGGGCAGAAGGAGGCGGCCGATCGTGAGAAGAAGCTGACGCAGACCGTCAACATCATCCAAGCCGAACGAAACTCCACGCAGAGGGAGCTGGAGGAAGTCAAGGACAATCTCGCCAAGCAGGACGAGAAGCATTCTGCCGAGATCAAGAACCTGGAAATCGAGCTTGGAACTAGTCGCCGAACCGCCGCGGTTTTTGAAACGGAGCGCTCGGCACTCCAGCGCAAGGTCGACGAGTTGACCGGTCAGAACCAGGAGTTGGCCAAGGCTTTCTCGGCCCTTCAGCGCGGGAGGGCGCTGGAACGCGATGGGCCGCTCGGCGGAAGCGAGGAGGACTCTAACTCTGCCCCTGACCACAACACCCCCGAGCACTCGCCGCCCCCGTCACCGATGAAGCCGACGCCTCGCCACTCTGGGCTGGAGTCTGAGACGCTTAAGACGTCTCTCGGTCACGCTCAGCGTACCATCCAGACTCTCCGCACCAACATCCATCGCGAGAAGACCGAGAAGCTGGAGCTCAAGCGCATGCTGCAGGATGCCCGGGACGAGATTGAAAAGCTTAGGACGGAGCCGAACCCCGGTCCCAAGAAGAGCCGCAAGTCGGACCAGCGTGACAACAAGAAACCGTCTTTCAAACTGAACCAACTCGGCGTCGCACGTGCCAGCAGAACTGAGGTCGTCGATGATGAAGATTGGGAGGACCAGTCCGAGGCTGCGTCCCCGGGCCTTCTCTCGCATCGCGCGTCGACGATTCGCCTCTCGGGCCACGGCGCTGTCCCTCACGAGTCGAGCAGCGATCAGTTCGAGACGGCCAACGAGACCAGTGATGCCGCCTTCGAGACCGCACACGAGCGGGGGACCGAGACGGAGGACTTCCAGACCGGCGCCGAGGATCTATCCGATGGTGCGGCAACCGAGACAGAGGCTGGCCCGTCCCGCAGCACCCACTCGATCAAGCGCCCGCCCCCCTTGCCGCCGCATCAGTCCAGCTACTCGTTCGACAGCACGGCATCCACCTCGAGCGAAGACGATGACTACCCGGTCTTTAGCTCTGAAATCCGGACACCCTCAGCCGGTCCGAGGATGAGGATGCGCATGAGTCGCAGCTCTCTGACTAACTCTCTGCCTCGCCGCTCGCGCCACTTCAGCGAGGAACCTGGTTTCCAGGACAGCCAATCCAGCCTCACTGACACCAACGCCTCGGGTACTCCCGGTGGGCAGAGTCTGTTTGCTGAGCTCAACGACCTCGACAACAGCGACGATGATTCGTTTGCGGGTGCGGCCAGTGCAAGCCCAAGTCGGAGGAGTGTCCGTTCGGCGACGCCTGGTACCCCCCATAGCATGGCTCGGGGCCGCGCCTCGCCGGTTCCTGAACTTCCCGCGATGCCCAAGATTATGGTTGATAGCGGCATGATGACCGAGCCCATGGACTTTGGCTCATTCCTCCCTACCATTGTCAACGGTGACGAGGACTACGAGGAACTGCACCGGCCGATGTCGATGGAGTCCGTCATTATTAGGTCTCGCCAAATGCCGCCTTCGAGGGATGGAGAGTCGTCCAGGTCGCTCTTTTCCAGCTACAGCGACGCTGGCGCTCAACACTCTCCGTTCGTGGGCTCGAGCATCTCCTCTATCCAGGCGCTGCACATTGAGCCTCACCCCGATTCGGACCGTGCCCTGCCTCCACAGCCGTTGGGTATTTCTTCGATCCTATCCGCGCACACGGAGCCGGTCTCGGAGGTGGTGGAGTTGCCGGTCCTCTCCATGGCACGCCATGTCTTTGAGCATATCGAGCCAGTGATGGAACCCGAGGTGCCACTGCCAGCTCTCAGTGCGCCGGCCATCCTTTCGCAGCACATCGAGCCGGTATCCGAGCCCGAAGCCCCCCTCCCGGCGCCGCCAACACTCAGCATACCGCCGCTGTTTGTGTCCCAGGAGACCCAGCCGGTGGCCGAGCTAGAGCCGCCTCTGCCAGCGTTGCCGACGCTCAGCATCCCACTTGTGCTCTCTCAGCACATTGAGCCTTCTGCTCCTGCGCCTGTGCCACTTGGCTTCTCGGCGATACACGCGAGAGACGTTGAGCCGGTTTCTGAACCCGAGCCGGCTCCGCCCACCCCAATTGCCCTGTCGTCGCCGGCTATTGTTTCCCAGCACGTCGAGCCCGTGGAATTGCCGGAGCCGGAGCCGGAGCCGGAGCCTGTTGTGGAAGAACGCTCGGTGCCCAAGGTTGCCGCCGCTGTCCTGCCGGTGCCGGTGCCGGCGCCGGCGCCCCTGTCGTTGTCCTCGATCTTTTCTGAGCATGTTGAGCCGAGGAGCGATGAACCTGCGTCACCCGCCAAACTGTCCGTTTCATCCATCGCTTCGGAGAACGTGGAGCCTCGGGGCGATGAGCCGGCATCACCAGTCAAACTGTCCGTTTCATCTATCGCCTCGCAGCATGTCGAGCCCCGCCACGACCCCAAGCCGGCTCCGCCCTCGCTCAACATGTCCAATGTTGAGTCTTGGGGCATTGAGCCCGTGGACACTCCCGTCGTTCTCTCGGCGCCACTCTCATTCTCCAGCATCGAGGCTCAGAACGTTGAGCCTGTCCATGTCGAAGAGGATGCGGGTGCCAATATTGCGGCGGTGTTGAGCCTCGCGGGTATTCATTCGCTGCACACCGAGCCCGTCGAGCCGCGCAGCCCCAAGAGGAATGCGTTCATCATCCCCCGCGATGCAGAGAACGGCATCAACGGCATCAACGGCGTGGAGAGCCACGCTACCCAGTCCAATGGCCCAGTCACAGCAGACCATGGTGCTCAGACATCTCTGACATCGGATGCTATTGACCAGATGATCAGAGAAAAGCTCCAGCCTCCCGATATTACTGGCTTGGAGCGGCAGCAGTCCATGGGCAGCCTGGCCACGCCGTCCACCGTCCGGATCCACCGGCCGCGCCAGGAAAGCTTCGACAGCCCCAACCACCCCAAGGGATTCACTTCCGATTCTGGGAGCGACATCCTCGAGGCGCCCCAGCCCCGGCGACCCGGCAGCTCGACCAGCGGCATGGCCTCTATCTACGAGGTCCCGCCGCTGCCCAGCAACCACAAGGAAGCTATCGAGGCGGCAAGGAGCAACTCCTCGCACGGCGGGCAAGGCACAATCGGCAGCATGGGCCCGCCGTTGTTCCCTGCTTCCGCTCTCAAGCCCCAGAACCAGTCTCTCCGCCCGCGAACCCCTACCGGCTCTCGACGCCCCACCTCTCCCATCTCCGTTGCGACTGGGCGAGCCACGCCCACTCTTCGCGCCGGGGCCGCCCGGCCCGGGTTCACGCCCGGCACCGCCGATGTGCACGACACGGTGTCACTCTCCAGGGCCACGATGCGGAGCCGCAAGTCGTCCATCTCGTCCTTCACCTCCGAGGTTGACACCCGGTTCAACATGCATCCCATGGGCGGGTTCGATACCCAGGGCTTTGGGCCCAACACCGATCCGCGCATGATCCAGGCCATCACGCAGACCATGATTGGCGAGTACCTATGGAAGTACACACGCAAGACCGGCGGGCGTGGTGAGATGTCGGAGAAGAGGCATCGCCGATACTTTTGGGTGCATCCGTACACGCGAACTCTGTACTGGAGCGACCGCGACCCTTCCGCCGCCGGGCGCTCGGAGCTGCGGGCGAAGAGCGTTCCGATCGAAGCCGTGCGGGTGGTCGCCGATGACAACCCCATGCCGCCCGGCCTGCACCGCAAGAGTCTGATCATCGTCTCCCCCGGCCGGAGTGTCAAGTTTACGTGCACCACGGGCCAACGACACGAGACCTGGTTCAATGCTCTGTCGTATTTGCTGCTTCGCACGACAGACGAGACGCACACGGATGCCGAGGAATTGGCTGGTAACATTACGAGGGAAGACGTTGAGGAATTCAACCCGTCGTTCGGCAAACGCCCGGTGAATGGCAGCCGGGCACCGCCGTCCCTCTCATCCTACGGCTCCCGGACACCCAAGGACTCCCCGACGATGGATGTCTCGATGAGCGTTCCGACGCTGACCCCCTCCCGGTCCAAGGCATCGCAGACCCGTCCGTCGTATGGCACCCTGAGCCGGTTCAGCGGGTACTGGAAGGAGAACAAGATCTCGGGAACCTTCAACAGCATGCGGAGCCGTAGTGCACAGGGGCGTCATTCGGCGCTGGGGATCTACGAGACGAATGATTTGCAGGACAGCGCGGAGGATCTCAGGGAGATGATTGAGAGGCAGGATCGCGAGGCCGATCGTCTCGAGAATGTTCGGGCGTGTTGTGATGGTTAGTTTACTCCCACGCAAGAACCACTCTAACCCCTCTCAAGAATCTGTGGCATGCATGTACAAGACGCTAACCAACATGCTCAACAGGCAAACATGATGTCGGCACTCTTCACAGCAGTGCCAAAAAGGGGGGTCGCCACTCGGTTGCCGGGTTCCGGTCGCCGACTCCCTCCGCGACCGCTGCCGCTACACCAGCCGGGACGGTCAGATCCCGGGCCTGAGCTTATTGTCATTTGCATCCGCTCTCCCAGTTTTCCTTTGGAAAATCAACATTTAATGCATTTGTCAGAGGTTCAGCCCTTCCCTTACCTTTCTCGTCGATCGCTTTTACAAGAAACTATTTTTTCCGCTGCATTGAGGTTTCCCTGAGGCATACACCAACCAACCAGCCATGCAATACGGGTTGTCACGACGTGGATGATATCCTTTTTTACCTTCTCTTCAATTTTCTTATTCTGTTCGCTCTCTTTTTCGATTATCCGGCTTTTTCTTTGTATCACCACCCAAAAAAAAAAGACACTCTTCAAAGGCAAACCCGCTGCGGCCACGCTCTTAATCATGTACCACTTCTTCTCTCTCCCTCTTGCCCGGAAAAAAACTTGTCAACAATATCTGGCGCATGCTCTTTTCAGATTTGATGGGCACCACACCACGGTGGCGCGGGAGTTCTCCTCGGCCGGCTTGTCCTTCGCAGGCGTTTTTTTTTTTTTTTTCTCTCTTTGGGTGTTTTCTCGGTAAAGGGGGGAAGGAAGGAAATACTCTTACCTTATCTCTCTTTTTCTTTCCCCCCACGGCTGTTCATTTCTTGGTGGTTCAAGATTGTCGTCCGTCTCCCAAAAAAAGCTGCTAGGTCCAACCAACCGGCTAACCGGCCATCCAACCAAACCAAAACAAGAAGTGAGGGACGGGAACGAAAAAATACCCCCGCTTTGTTTGTTATTATCATCATCTCGGCCAAACTGTCTTCCTGCTTCCTCATCATGTATTTTTTTTGTCCTTTTTGGCGGGCGATGTCACTCGGTCAATACTTTGGTCGTTGGTCGGGTGGTACTCGTCTCAAGCGAGAGAAGGAAGAAGAATTGTATGGAAGACAGAGAAGACAGGCAGGACAGGCAGGACAGATCCGGGTGTACTAGAGCAGTGGACAAGCTGTGAGGTAGCGTTTGATGACTGAAATGAGAAAACTAAATTGGAAACTTTTGGTTGTGCTGTATGGCTGTGATTGAGTTCTTAATGGTTGGCTGCCGTAGGTGTAGGGAGGCGGCAGTTGATGCAACACTATCGGTATTTTGTCAGCATGAAGATGTTCTCGAACGCTCGGGCCAATGATGACGTAATTCTCGTTAACAGCCCTGTCACGGTGCAACTCTTCTTCCTCCGACAAACACCAAACAACACAACCACAAACCGAATCGTTCCTCGACTCCCTCCCCTCCCCAACCCCCAGGACTTCACACGTTCAAAGAGACACCATGGCAGAAGCAGAATCAGAACCCTCCACCGCCCCAGCGGCGGCGCCCATCATGCCGGTCGCCATCTTCAAAAAACGCGGCGCCAAAGCCAAAGCCAACCTCCGAAAACGCCCTGCCACGCCCCCCCCCGCCGCCGCCAACGACAGCGACAGCGACGACGGTTCCGATTTCTCTTCCGAAGAAGACGCATCCGGCGAAAGAATCAAGCGTCGAAAACGCAACACCGGCGCGGTTGTTGCTTCGTCCAGGAATAACGTCAACACCGCCTCCGGGTCGGGGTCCGGTGGTGGGAGTGGTGGTGGTGACGCCGGCAACGACCTATCCGCAACAGTCTACCGCGCCGACCGCACCGCCTCCCTCGACACGGGCAAACAAGAAGCCACGAAACAAAGTAACTGGTACGACGAAGAACCCGCCGATGGCGCCGCCCTCTCCGCGCGCAACCTCCTCGGTTCAACACGCGCTATGCCCCCGGGCAAGGGCAGTAGCACCAGAAACAACAAGGACGATCTGAAAAATGATCCGCCGCCGGCCCCAGACGGCCTCTACAAAGGCCTCTCCCAAGCCGCCACCTACACCCCCGTCAACCCGGACGCGCCCCGGCGCGCCGCAGGCCCAATCAAAGCACCACCATCCAACATCCGCACCATCACCATCACCGACATGGCGCCAGACGTCTGTAAAGATTACAAGCAGACCGGTTTCTGCGGGTATGGCGACGGGTGTAAATTCCTGCATGCGCGGGAGGATTACGCGCATGGATGGCAGTTGGATCGGGAGTGGGAGAGTGTGACGAGGGGGAAGAGGGTTTTGGGGGGGACGGTGGTTGGTAGTGCCGATCGGTCACGGCGAGGGGGGGATAATGATAATAATAAAGCTGCGGATGAGGAAGATGGGGAGGAGGCAGAAGCGGCGATGTTGGAGGGGATCCCGTTTGTGTGTATTCTCTGCAAGGGAGCGTATAAAGCGCCTGTTGTGACGCGGTGTGGGCATTATTTCTGTGAGGGGTGTGCGTTGAAGAGATACCGCAAAGATCCGAGTTGTGGTGCGTGTGGAGCGGGGACGAATGGGGTGTTTAATGCGGCGAAGAAACTGCAGAGGTTGTTGGAGAGGAAGAGGGAACGGGCGGCGAGGGTGAGGCGCGAGGCGATGGAGAATGGGGAGGAGGTTAGTGAGGGGGAGGATGAATAGACGCTATTTGATTGATTTCTTGTTCATGGACTCGTAGTACCTAGCTAATGCATCCCATTTGACCCCCTGTCCTAACCCATCCCTTCCGTTCCCGCATAATCTGTCTATTCCTAAACAAACTCCGCCCCCGAATCAATAACGCCGTAATCAACGCAGTAAACCTCGCCGCAAAAATATCAAACGCCCATGGTGAAATCATGCTCGATGCCGGGCGTGACACTGGCAATGAACTAGGATGGCTGTTAGTTGTTTCAGACTTATTAAGAGAGCAGCACAACGAGAAAAGACATACCTTGAGGAAAACGACAAGGTACTGGTCCACGCGGATAGCCACTTCCTGATCCGCAACATCATGCTGGACCTCCTCCCATTCGTCAACCTGATCACCACCAGCCGGGGCAGCAGCAGCAGCAGCAGCAGCAGACTCCGCACCAACATCAAGGTTGGCAACCTCCCCCTCCAACCCTTCGAGTCCCTGGTTGCTGCCGGCGCCTTGGCCCGCCTTCTGGCGCTCCCGCCGCAGCTTGAGCGCCGCATCCGCCCGGTCCAGGAGCGTCTTCATCACCGGTGCGTGCTTGCAGGGGTGTATGCTCGCCATCTTGACGGGGTTGGCGAAGAACGGGAAGTCTTCGAGCGTCACCGTCTTGTCCTTGTAGTCGCCCACGATGTCCTCCATCATGAGCTGCGGGGCCAGCGGCGCCCCGCTGGGTTGGTAGCCCGACATGTACATGCGCGGCGTCTTGTACCATGGAGAGTAGACGATATAGAGGGAGTAGGTCCGCCTACCACTAAAGCCGCGAGAAGAGATCAGTCAGCATGTGTTAGAAATCGATACCGCCGGGGTGCCAAAATCCCCTACCTGTTCTTGTCCGCCTCTGGGTCCCGGATGATAGCCTCGTCGTCCTCTTCATCCTCCATGTCTGGGATGTCATCCTCATCGATGACCTCGCGATCGCCTACATTCCCAGCATCGTCGACCGTCCGTACCTCTCTGACCTTGAGCGGCTGGGAACTAGTCAACCCGCCCGTGCGCAGCCAGCCGTCGTCGTCATCGCCGCTGTTCTTGCCCCCCTCTACCACGGCTTCCTCGTGGCCCGCATCGCCGGCGAAATCGTCGTTCAGCCGGCGCTGGCAGGGGACGTGCCGGGTGACCAGATATTGTTTCCCGGGGGGGAGATGGCTGATGCGCTTGCCTGGGGTCTCGGCGTCGGCCCACGACCACGACGGGAACTTGAAGACTAGGTAGTCGCCCGCGGCGAGAAACTCCTCCGGCGTGATTTCGCCCGTGTTGCGAAACGTCGACGTGTGCGTCGCCGGGGTGTACCTGTCGCGCAGGCTGTTTACGGTGGAGTAGAGGAGATTCATGACGGCGACAGAGGAGAGATGTGGGTGATGGATAATGTTCGATGGACCGGGAGCGGGGGTGGGGCTCGTCGAAAAGTGGTTTAAGTAGGTAGCTAGATCTGATGATAGCAAGGTCCAAGGCAGGCCGGCAGTTTCGGTTTTCGGGATGCGTTGGTCCTGTTTAATGGGCCAGACTTTGTTGCACAAGTTTGGACGAAACCCAAGGGGGTAAGCAACGGTTGTTGGGTTGGAAATCGGAAGCAGAACGTCCTGTTTATGGGCGCACTGGTAGGTACTTGGTGAATGTGGAACCTCGAACGAAAGCGGCTGGCGAAATCAAATGACGACGAGTCACGGCCCCTCGTGACAGGTCCAGTTGATGGTAGCCTTGCAGAGAGCATCGGCTTCCTCGCCGTTCCGATGAGTCCCTTGGCAATCTCGGGTCATTTGGCGGGGTCGGAGCTCATGCCCCGCTGCGTAATTGCATGGCAGCTGCCTGCCCCGCAACGGCCCGACACTGCTCCACTCCTTCCCCCTGATTGGCGGTCCCTGCAGCTGTCCAATGTTCTTTGGGGCTGGCCGCGCAACTTCCAAGATAGGCTGACGACAATAGGAGGCAAGCTTTCTTGGTTTAGACCCCACGGCCCAATCTAGTCCGTCCCAATATCATTTATCTTGTCCTTCACATCGTGAAGCTGCTCCCCCGAGCAACGCGTGGTATTATTTTGCGGTATTACTGTCCTTCTCCGCCCACGGTGCCTGCGTAACGTGCTATCTCATGCGCCCGACGCCGTTGCATATCTAGTAAACAACTCGACGCGACAACCATCAATATTCCAACCCCGGCCACGTTCATCCTCCATCTGTTGCCGTCCCAATCGTGTGCTTGATCCGCAAGTCCTCCGCGCGGCACGGCGTCTGTCGATAATAGGTGCCCGATATGGCGACCATACGCAGCCTTGATCACACCAAGTCCGTTCGCCTCCTTCCCCCCCAAGCGAGTGACCGTCGGCCTCTCTCAGCCCCTCTCAGCCTTGACTCTAGCTCCCCTTGAACCCTACTCTGACCAATTTCTTCTGTACACAGATCGGAGGCTGAGCTGGCCATCAACATTAAGAAAGCGACGAGCCCCGAAGAATCAGCCCCGAAGCGCAAGCATGTCCGCAGCTGTATCGTCTACACCTGGGATCACAAGTCCTCCCAGTCCTTCTGGGCGGGGCTCAAGGTCCAGCCCATCCTGGCCGATGAGGTCCAGACATTCAAGGCCTTGATCACGGTCCACAAAGTTCTCCAAGAAGGGCACCCCGTGACGCTGAGGGAAGCAATGGCGAACCGAGGGTGGATTGACAGCTTGAACCGCGGCATGGCCGGGGAGGGCATGCGTGGTTACGGTCCTCTTATCAAGGAATATGTCTACTACCTCCTTGCCAAGCTCTCGTTTCATAAGCAGCATCCCGAGTTCAATGGCACCTTCGAATACGAGGAATACATCAGCCTCAAGGCAACCAATGACCCCAACGAGGGCTACGAAACCATCACCGATCTGATGACCTTGCAGGATAAGATCGACCAATTCCAGAAACTCATCTTCTCGCACTTTCGTAATGTCGGGAACAACGAGTGCCGAATCTCTGCTCTTGTGCCTCTTGTCACCGAGAGTTATGGGATTTATAAGTTTATCACCAGCATGCTTAGGGCAATGCACTCGTGTAAGTTTCTCCCCTTTGTCTGTCGAGGTCTTACGGGTAACGCCGCTCACACTGCTGCGCAGCAACGGGAGATAACGACGCCCTTGAACCCCTCCGTCAACGATATGACGCCCAACACTACCGTCTCGTCAAGTTCTACTACGAGTGCTCCAACCTTCGTTATCTCACGAGTCTCATCACCATCCCGAAGCTGCCGCAAGAGCCGCCCAACTTACTCGCAGAAGATGAGAACGCCCCCGCCCTTCCCGCCCGCCCTAAGCAGGAAATCGAGAAGCGCCCAACACCTCCGCCAGCACCCAAGGCCGAAGAGCCGGACGAGATCAACGAGTTCTGGAAGAGCGAGATCGACCGGCAGAACAGGGAATATGAAGAACAACAGCGAGTCTTGGAGGCACAGCAGCAAGCCGCGCTCCAAGCGCAACAGCAGGCCCAGCTTCAGGCTCAACGCGATTTCGAGGAGCAACAGCGCCGGTTGATGGAGCAGCAACAGCGGGAGCAGGAGGCCTTGATGGCCCAGCAGGCACAGTGGCAGACACAAGGACGGCTGGCCGAGCTGGAGCAAGAAAATCTCAACGCGCGGGCGCAGTATGAGCGCGATCAGCTCATGCTCCAACAGTACGACCAGCGTGTCAAAGCGTTGGAAAGCGAGCTGCAGCAGATACAAGGCAATTTCGGACAGCAGCTGGGAAGTAAGGACGACCAGATCCGCGCATTGCAAGAGCAGGTTAATACCTGGCGATCCAAGTACGAGGCGTTGGCCAAGCTGTACTCACAACTCCGCCACGAGCATCTCGACTTGCTTCAAAAATTCAAGTCCGTCCAGCTGAAGGCGGCATCGGCGCAAGAGGCCATCGACAGGCGGGAGAAGCTCGAACGGGAGATCAAGACGAAGAACCTCGAACTCGCCGATATGATCCGGGAGCGTGACCGGGCCCTTCACGACAAGGACAGGTTGTCCGGCTCGAACAAGGACGAGGTGGACAAGTTGAAGCGAGAGCTCCGGATGGCTTTGGATCGCGCAGACAACCTTGAACGTAGCAAGGGTAACGAATTGTCCACCATGCTCTCCAAATACAACCGCGAGATGTCCGATCTTGAGGAAGCACTGCGCACCAAGTCGAGGGCGCTTGATGAGGCTCAATCCAAGTTGAGGGACGGCAGCTCGGACCTCGAGGCCCTGCTCCGTGAGAAGGAGGAGGAGCTTGAGGTCTACAAGGCCGGCATGGACCAGACGCTGATTGAACTTAATGAGTTGAGGAACAACCAGGGTGCCTCGGACCAGCTGCTAGACGGTCAGCTCGACGCCATCGTCCTGGCTCAGCTTGACAAGATCAACGAGATTATCGACTCGGTTCTCCAGTCGGGAGTGCAGAGGGTCGACGATGCCATGTACGAACTCGACTCGACCATGCAGGCCGGCAACCAGAGCGCATCGCCGAATTATGTTCTTTCGCAGATCGAGAAGGCCTCCGCCAGCTCGACCGAGTTCGCCACATCATTCAACAACTTCATCGCCGATGGCCCCAACAGCACGCTCGCGGATCTGATCAAGAATCTTAACGTGTTCTCCGGCGCTATCGCAGATGTATGCAGCAACGCCAAGGGTCTGACGCGTCTGGCAACGGACGAGAAAAAGAGTGACTCGTTGATTGCCGGTGCTCGTCAGTCTGCGCATGCGACTGTCACCTACTTCCGCAGCTTGCTTAGCTTCCGTCTCGATGGCATGGACCCGGTGCAAAGGACGGACGTTGTCATCAACAGCAACAATGAGGTGCAGATCAACCTCCAGCGGCTCAACAAGATTGTGGAGACCTTTGCGCCAGGCTTTGGCAAACTCGCCGGCAAGGGCGACCTGGGCGATATCGTTGACCAAGAGCTCAACAAGGCGGCCGACGCCATCCAGGCTGCGGTTGACCGTCTGAACAAGCTCAGGAACAAGCCGCGTGATGGGTACTCTACCTACGAGCTCCGGGTTCACGACTCGATTCTAGACGCCGCCTCGGCCATCACCACGGCGATTACACAGCTCATCAAGGCAGCTACTGTCACCCAACAAGAGATCGTGCAAGCCGGCCGCGGTTCGTCGTCGCGCACGGCATTCTACAAGAAGAACAACAGGTGGACGGAGGGCCTCATCTCTGCTGCCAAGGCGGTGGCGTCGTCGACCAACACGCTCATCGAGACGGCTGATGGCGTGCTCTCGCATCGCAACAGCCCAGAGCAGCTGATCGTAGCGTCCAACGACGTGGCCGCGTCGACGGCCCAGCTTGTGGCCGCCAGTCGCGTCAAGGCTGGCTTCATGAGCAAGAGCCAGGAGAACCTGGAACAGGCCAGCAAGGCTGTCGGCGCTGCCTGCCGCGCGCTTGTTCGCCAGGTGCAGAGCATGATCAAGGACCGCGATGCCGGGGAGGAACAGGTGGATTATTCCAAGCTCGGCGCGCACGAGTTTAAGGTGCGGGAGATGGAACAGCAGGTATGTCACTTTTGTCATTGTCACTTTTTCTTTTCGTTATTTCCCTTTTCATCATTGTCACACCTCGGTCTCAACCAAGAGCAAGTCATGGCATCACCTAACCGCTCTTTATGGATTCAGGTCGAAATTCTGCAGCTCGAGAACGCCCTATCTGCGGCCCGCTCAAGGCTTGGCGAAATGCGCAAGATATCATACCAGGAGGAGTAATATGATCGAGGGCCTCGGAGTTATTTGGCCGTTGCTCGGGTTAGGAACACGGTGTGAAGCGTACATAGTAGCAGCTTATCCAGATCGGCTCAGCGACGAGATTGACAAAATCGTATCGGTCGGGATTTCGCGGTGGGGGCTGAGAGTGACGGACGCGCAGCGTTCCATTCGACGTTCGCTCCGCCGTCCCCGCGGAAAGAGTTTCAACCAATCCCTAAACTCAGTTTTTGAGAACTTTCGGCTGGTGCTCTCGTTGGCTGGTCCAGCTCGGCGTTGAAAGGAAGATCCCTTGCGCTTCCCGCAAGCTGGCAAACATTGGTCACCTCGCTGAGTTATTCCCGCGGAGAGTCCCTAATTCCTCTCCCTCGATGGCCCTTTTGCTACCAATCGCATAAAGTTACCTGTAAGATCTCTGCGGTGTACACAGGCGTTCCGCTACACTGCGCTACAGTGCCTCGCTTCCGGTGACACGACATCATCCAAGGGCGGAACCGTTACGGATGCTGTTTGCCCGTCACCCTGCCCGTCACCCTCGGCCCGCTGCTGATCATGTCTCCTAGTCTCTCCAGTTCCACCCCACCACGCGCCTGTAATCCACCGCGGCCGTTCCCAATCTCTCCGATTGCGAGACAAATCGTCTTGGTGATTCACAATCCCGCCCGAATTGTCCCCAATGCGGATTGATGTGCATTTGAAGAAAACCAGGATATCTTCATTCGGCAAAGAACACCCGAGCCCAGACTCGGAAACCCAAAGACCGAGAGAGAGAGAGATCGAAAAGTCCAACCAGGCAAACCAGGGACGGGAATCAGTCCGAGATGGCCCCTTAGGTGGCCCCCATTTCGTCGCCCTTGCCTCGCTTGTTTGCCAGTACGCCGCACTGGTCATTTTGTGACGCCCTTCGCCCCCCCGCATTGCATGATGTTTGCTCCGCGGACCACCACCACCACCTACGAGTGACCACAAACACCGAACCTCAGGCCATCCCCGCCTCGCGCCGCGCCGCGAGGTAAGGTAGTTAGGTCCAGGTCCCGGAAAATCCCCCCAGCCCTAAACCCTAACCCTAGCACACTCATCACTGTGCAACGCCGCTATCCAACTTGCACAAAACGAGCCAACACACTTCAACAACCAACAAACTGGGTACCCTTGTAAAACCCCCACGACCCCTTGCTAGACTTGAGTTAGCTCGCAGCCGAGCTGTGACGGACCGAAAGACTTCGGAGTTCTTTCCGAGCTCTCTGCGATCTTGTCCATGGAGGGAATCGATCAAAGGGCACGAGTTTAGTGTAGTGTAAATTGAAAGCAATCGAGAAGCTCAAAAAGTATTTAATTAACGTTAAGAACAACCGGGAATGTGGCAACCAAGATTTCCACCGCACGAAATGATCTGTCAAACGATCCCGTACACTACAACGTCGCACAAAAGCCTCCTCGCAGCCGAAACATGCAAGAGCCATCCCACCAACCCGACCCAGGAAAAACATCCCTTGCAACAACCAAGGGGGTGAAGCCCGGAAGCTCCCCCGCTGTGTGGTGTGGTGGTGCCCGGTGGCGTTTCTGCTGTGCCGTGTATAGTGTAACTTGCTGATGTGAATCTGTGCCCCGAGCCTTGCCGTCCACCTTCCTCGAGGTAGCGCGCGCCGGCATATTTGACCATCGGTTTTCCGATGCCTTTTTCCTATTCGTAGTGTACTTGCTGAAGGAAACGTCAGATGCGGAACAGAAAAGGTGAGAGCGACCGAACCGACCGACCGACATGCCTGGGCCTGCATGATCCACCGTGTTCAGCAACCCCACCCGGGGTCCATGGAGGCCCGGTCGGACAAACCCACTGCGGGACACCTGTGCCCAGTGCCCACCCAATTTGACAAGCCCGCTCGGGCCAGGCAAGCCAGGCTCGAGCCAAAGCCTCCAAAACAGGAGTGCGGCTGATGCAAGATTGGCTGCGCGGATGTTCGGAACGGCTGCAGCAGCCCCTGCGCCGGGTGGGTCTTGGGTCTCTGGTGGGCGAGGGGGTCCTGGTCGGATGGTAGGTCGGTTTGCGGAACCCGGGGTTGCTTTAAATCGACGACAAGTCACATTTTTCGTTGTCAGATTGTCATTCTCCGCCCCGCGGATGTCTTATTTACGGGGCTAATCTTTCGCTGCACCACTCCCTTGAAGATTAGGTCACAGAAAATGCAGATATGAAGGTCAGGTGGTTTGTCTTTTCGCGACCGACAGGCAGAGAGCGAAAGGGGGCCTCATCCCTCAAAGTAACACATCTCTAAGGTACCATGGCAGTCTTGAAGTCAAGGAAGTGCGGAATTGAACTTGATCTCAGCCATCAGAGACACCCGGTATGCAGTCGTCCTCACACGGATCGAAAACCCTCCCAGGGTTAGCGAATAACGTCAACGTGACGCTCCGACTGTTTTTTCATCCCTTGCGCGAGAGAACAAATCGGCCATCATGCTCCGTCGACCCTTGCCCAGAGCATTTATTTGACCTAATTAGATCTTAATTACCCCATTAGTTTTAGCTCTTAAGGGGAAACTCACACAATCCAGACCGCCGCCCTTTCTTTGCATAATCCAGACCCGTCGAGACGGTCTCTCCAATCATTAGATTTGCTTGAAACAGTGTACATAGAAATCAACTTCGAGGAAGGGGGTAAATAAAATGAGCAAAACTAAGGATTTTGGGATTAGTACTGATACGCTGAGGGGGTCAACGAGCATCGTTCAGGATGCTACGGTGGTTGTTCTCTTTGCATCAAGTGCATCTAAAGAATTGCTACCCGCGTCGACGCCACGGAAAGGAACCGGACGCTCGCTCAAAGCCATCTGAGTCGAAGGGAATCAAGCGCAGAAAGCAGATCACTAGTCGCTTGAGGCACAGATCCAGGTGAATTGTATACCTTCCAATAACAAGTAGCGGTAGGCCCACGATTATATAGTCTAAGCGATATCAAAACTCCACGACGCCTCTCATCATCGTCCCCTGTCAACGCTCGTCTGAAATTCTCCGAAATTGATGCCAAGGAATAGTAATGAGGTTTATCCCCTGCAGTGAATTTAAACCCTAACACGACCGCATGCATAGTTACTCCAAAGAATTTTGGGGGCGTTGAGCGTTGATTATTCGTTCTAGCGATCGTAGCGAAAGGATCCAAAAGGCAATCAATGGCCAAGACGGTTACCTCGGCGTTGAGACCAGTTCGGGGCCGGACCCGGTAATTACTCCGATAATCTTTGAAATCAGAACCTAAGCCTACCGAATATCAAGTCTTGATGAAACTCCCCGGCATTCTTTTTTGACGGGAGAATGAAATGGATAGTTAAGCGTTTCGTTACTCGAGTTCTGACCCGAAATTTTTACCGCCCAGACAAAAGAGGATATGCGAAATAGAGCCTGCGGGCATGGGGTTGTGCCCTACCTACCTCGTCCGTTTGGGGACGCTATTCAGAGTGAACTGAATAGGGTCGAGTAGGCAAAAATTCCTATTGTGGTTACCTCTGAATAAGGCACAAAGAAAATTTCTTGCGAGTACCTGCCCCGCCCAGCCATCTGTTTTGATCACACTCCCACCACCCCCCCCCCAGCACACACACCCCTCCATTTCCCAACTCCCTTCCATTTCCCAGAAAGGTAGTAAGTTTCTCTCTTCATTTCTTTCAAACCTCTTTCCTTTCCCCTCCTTCCAACAACACCAAATTTCGAGTGCGAGCACTCTTGAATTCTCGCCTCCCAACTTCTTACTTCTTTTGTTCCTTCACACAATCATCATCCAAATTTCTTTCACAATTCACCACATCGACACCAACCAAACAATCTCCAATAGAACATCAGCAAAATGGCGACCGATATTGCGGCTCAACTTGCCGACCCCGCCATGATCAAGTTTCTCGGCGCCAAATACTGGAACCATTTCGCCATCCAGCTCGGCCACTGGAACACCATGAAGGTCGTCATCATGGATGAAGAGATGTTTCGCTTGATCCCTACTGCCGTCAAAATTGAAATCGCTCGCGAGATGACGTAAGTTTGTTCCGCGCATTCGTCTTGGTCTTCTCGTACCATGAGCTTACAACCATCGCAGCAAGTATCTGGAGGAGCCCGTGATGTACGCTCGCGACTGTGACAACAAGAGTGTCTGGATCCTTGGTCCCATTAGGATCATGCATCCTGACACTACCGTCGTGGGCAACGTCCCCGTTTGGGACCCCAAGAAGAAGCTTGTTCCTCCCCCGGATCTCAAGAAGCTTCCTCGCCCCCAGAACGCGTACATTTTGTACCGCAAAGACATGCAGAACAAGGTCAAGGCTGACAACCCTAACCTTCACAACAACGAGATTTGTAAGCCACACTCATCCAATGTCTTGAGTATGTTTCAACTAACGACTCTCAGCGATTCTCACTGGTGCCATGTGGAAGAGCGAGACTCCTGAGGTCCGCGCCAAGTACCACCACAAGGCCGCGGAGATCAAGGCTGAGTTCATGCTCAACAACCCTGATTACCGATACACTCCCCGCAGGCCTTCTGAGATTCGCCGTCGCGTGATTCGTCCCCCCGGCTTCCAGCACAGCGCCCATGTCAGCGCCCTAGACGAGAACCGCCGGGAAGGTTTGAAGATCACCAGCGAGATCACCAGCCACATTCCCGCTGCTCAGCGCTTCTTGCCTCCCGTGGCTGAGGCTGGATGGACCCCTTATCACCTGGTGCCTGGCGCCTCCACTCCCACTGAGCCTGCTCTGGAGGATACCGGCGATGACGAGGCCGCTACCCCGGACGAGCAGATTGAGACTCCGGCTGCCGAACCTCATGTTGACGCTGACGCTGCCATGAACGACGCCCGTGGTCCACTTTCTATGGAAGAGATCATGGACGGCTGGGATGCGGGTGCCGACATCACTCAGATTCTCGCCCATATCTAACCGTTCTGCACCCCACTCTTGCAATCCTCGGCATTTAAGACAGTGTCGCCAGTTTCCGAATTACCAACTGACCCGAGCCGCACCCACATATCTTCGGAGCATGCTCGGGTAGCGCGGTGAAGAGAAGTTGCAGAAAATCAGAAAAAAAAGTAGAAAACAGAATGACAAAAAAGTAAGTATCCGGTGCCTTTCCCTAACGCTGCACCGATTCATTAGAATTTGTCACTGACTCCGGCAACAGAAGCACCACGACAAGGTCGTTCTTCGCCAATTTGACAGCCCGCTCGAGCCAAGCCCTCCAAAACGGGAATGCGGCTGATGCAAGATTGGATGTTCGGAACGGCTGCAGCCAGCCCCTGCGCCGAGTGGGTCTCTCGCTGGTTGGGCGAGGGGTCCTGGTCGGATGGTCGGTTTGCGGAACCCGGGGTCGCTTTAAATCGACGACAGGTCACATTTTCCCTTGTCAGATTGTCATGTTCTTGCCGCCGAGTTTCTCCAAAGCCGCATGGCTCCCTTGTAGAGTATTGTTGTTGGCGGGGCGTAAGACAAAACTTGCAGGTTTTTCCGCGACTGCGGCTCCCCTCAGCGGGCTGGATCGGAAATAACCGGCAAAATACATTGGCACATCGTGTCAAGTACACTATTGTTTGTGTCCCGAACCTGAACAATTTGAAAACCAAAGACGACATTATGACCAGACTAACCATCCTCTGTCCCAATGAATTGCCTCCTTCTCGGCACCCTATTGCGAAATGTACAAAGACAAACTGAGAAAGTTAAAGATCTCATAATCGAAATAGGTGCCTAGCAACAACTTGAAGATTCCTTCCGGCGCTGATGATGCGGGCGGCTTTGGAAATGATCAACCCCACTTTGACTTGCGGCACTCTTGAGAGGTCACTTCGACGCTGGACCCTCAGTTGAATTCTAAACAGGCGTCAGTCTTTAAGATACGGCCACAAGCCCAAAGGGGTGTTGGTAAGCAGTCGAGAAGCATCACTGTATCACTCACCATGCATATAGAACTGGTGGCCGGGGCCAGCATGATGGTTGAGCGTTCCGTCGTCTTCCCCGCACCAGTTCCCACCCATCGTTGTGTCAAATCCCGCGGTCCCATGATGAACCATCTGATACGGCATGGGTGCAAGGATGGGCTCGACGCTATCAACGTAGTGAGTGGTGACTTCCTGGAGGCTTGGGTGCTCCGGCGGGATACCGAATATTCCTCCCATCGCAACACGAGGGCTCTGTTTGGCGAGCTCCCGGATGTTTTCGATGACAGCATCCTGGGGGGTGTTGAGGCATATGATGCCGGCGCCAGAAAGCTTCGCGTATATGGACTCGGGTTGGGAAAGTTCGAGACCACCAGCGATGCATTTTTCGAGTAGACACCGTCCACTCATAGGCTGCATGCGGCTGCTAAAGCTCCGTGGGTTGGCGCGTTCCACGGTCTCGGCACCGTTCTCATCCCGGATCCGTTCCCAGCCCAAAGTTTCGAGATAGCTGTCGCGATCAATGATGTCGAAATGTTCAACTGCGAACGCAATCCAGTTCTGGAGTGTAATACCGTCCTCCGAGAGGGAATCTCTGATGACCGAGTATACAGCGCAAATAAAATCCCATTGCTTGCGGCATGGATCCGCTTTCCAGAGCTTTGTCATGATGGGTGACTTCTCCCTCTGGGTGAGCGGATACAACATCGAAGAGTAGTACGCTAGGAATAATTAGTAAATGACAGCATCGCACTGCGCTTCCAAACTAACCGCGATACCCGAAGAAGCCATTGACTTTCTTCTTCGTCGACTGCTGCGAAGCTTCAATTGGCATCATGTTGAGAGATGATGAGTTGGTGTCGGTGTGAGGTTGTCCTTGAACTGCTTCCTGGAAGGCTTGAAAATTCAAATTGATTCCGGCCATTTTTGCATGACCAGAAGAAGTTTTACGCGGTGGGGGATGAGGATGATTTGGCGGTTGACGGTCGCAACAAATGCGTGGAAGCAGGCAGGAAGTTGGGAACATCCAGGAATATGCAAACCTCGAGGTGCCAACCCCGTTTTAATTGGAGGCTGTAGGGATAGATTTATGGCGCTTACCGAAGAGGGATTGCACTAAATATAATTTTCTTTGTCTTCTTTTATGTGTAATAGCATTAAGACATGTCACTTTGCGGCTCGATTTCATTTCCCACTTGCGTGTCTCTCTCGCATACCTAGGTAGCTAAATCTCGTAATTTACAACATCGCCGACTTCTCACAAGTTTCGCCTTATGCGTAACACACGACGACCTCTCACCACCAACGATCCTCCGTCTGAAACCAGTAGTAACGGAGCTCACCCTCTATGAATTCCGGCATGGGGAGAATTTCGTCTCCTGACAAAGCAGTTCCCGCTAACTCTGGCGCGTTGATCTCAGCATTCAACGCCTCCAGCCTTGTAACACCCAGCACGTCGAATTCCGCGGAATGGATCTAAGAATCTCGGAGTTAGGATGCAAGGTTCGGTTTCAAGGGTTTTGGGGCGCTAACATACGTCACTTAGATCTTCGGGACTTAGGAGACACAGGTCCTCCGACTCTTTCCAACCCTTGAAGAAGTGCGACAAACGGCGTTGGACCCTCCGGACTTTGGTCTATTTGGGGTTAATGGCTGACATGATTAAGGTAGATAAGAGGGAGAGCTTACGTCTCTGATAAACTGATATAGGCGTGGACGAGGGAGCCGGCGGTACTGTTTGCGTTTGTTAGCATATTATTCCGTCGGTAATCATACGCCTTATTTGGTAACTCACGGTCTCAAACATGTCACGATATTTGTTATAATCGTTCATAACTTCTGGCTGCAGCCAGGTAATGGTGTCCGGAAGATAGACCTTGATGTAATCTCCTCTCTCGCGTTTGCGAAACAACATCGGGCGTCCCCAAACTAGAACGAGGTTGCCGAAGAACTTGTGCCAGTGCGTGCCCGGCATATGGGTCAAGGGGTTGAACGGCTCCTCGGTGTGCCAGTATTCACCGAGCTTGCTCAAATCGTCCTGAAGATGCGGATCGGGAGCTTCGTCCGGTTCAGCGTCGCTATTTTTGTGGAGAATACGGCCGCCGAACGCCTTGATATCCTCATCGTAGATACAACCATTCTCTTTGCCCGGGTAGGTTTCCGCCCTGTTGTGGAGGATAAGAGTGTTGAGCAGCTCCATGACCAGTTCCTGAGCTTTCTTAACTTGGTGCTCCAAGGATGGATCACCTCCAGACGCGAGGCCTGTGCTGTGTTGCTGAAACGCCAGAAACTCCAGGACGGCGTTCGAGGAGGCGAGAAAGCGGCAAACATTCTCGGTTATGGCTTCTGGGTCAACAAGCACCAACGACGGCGATTGTGAGATCTTTTCAGTCATAACTAAGAAGATGTTCGTCGTTTGCAGAATCGCTTCGAAGCTGTCCGCGAAGTCCTTGATTTCGGTCTGAATCGTGGATCGAATGTAATGAGCCTGCATACGTAGCACCGCCTGATTAGAGGAGTGATTGATGTCAGTACTTCATCCGAGCTACACGTATTGGTTATCCTCACTTTTCCCAGCGCACGGCGATCCCAAGACAGGTGCTGAACCCCGCGAGGGTTGAGGATGGTGCGGGGCCTCATCGCACTTTGTGCGTTCGTCATGTTTCAATGTTGATATGAAGGTTGTGTTGTTGCGAAACTGTGTCAGCCAACTGATCGATTAGGTGTTGCGTCTGGTGGGCTGTTGTCAATGACCAGTCCACACGGTTTTGGGGACAAGACAAGTTTTGATAAACTTGGGAAATCATAATTCTACCTGGTGGGTGTGGTGGGGGAAGGGGGGCTTTTTTATAAGGCAGTATTTTCTGCCTCGATGTCCCTTCCTGTTGTTCCTATTGTAGATTGAGTGGTGGCCCGTGCTTACTATTGTTCTTTGAGAACGATTCTAAGCACAATGTGGGAGGTTGCCTTTTTGGGAAGGCAGCGCAAGTCGTGCAAACTAGTAACTTAGACCTCCTAGCCCAAAAATCATCCTCGCCCACACAAGTTTATTCTTTATCTTCCAACCCAATTTCTTCCCTCCGCCATTGAGGGACTCTTTTCTATTCGCTTTCAGAACACCGACAAGCCTATTCAATTTTCAGCACACTCAAGTGCAGTCCAATCTCACCACTTTCAGCAACACTTCAATTAACCGACAATTCCGACCATCAGCACAGTCAACATTATGGCTTCCAACGTCATGGTCCCTTCCGCCACCCCTGTGGCCCAGGCCTCTCCTCTGGCTTTCATCTTCGTTTCCAATGAGATGATCGTCCAGTGCATCGCAAACTCCGATGACCAAACTGCCGCCGTCAAGGCCATGACCACCGCCTTGGAGAACTTCAGGTAAGTTTTTGAAACTCCCACATCCGACATCAATCATATTGACCAATCATAGAAGCTTCAATGATGGCAAGCATGCTACCATTGTCCGCCCGAAGGGCACGAACAAGTACTGGATCACCAGTGCTGCCTTTGCCTTGACTCTTGATCCTTCCAAGTTCAAGGTCGTCAAATCGACGGAGCACCTTCCATCAAACACTGGTAAGTAAACAATGCGGCCGTCACCTAGAATTAGTTCTAATTGTCTACTCAAGCCCTGAAGGTTCAGGTCCCGATGGAGCAGCAGGTCGTCACTCAGAACAAGGTCACCAAGATGCGCATCCGTCGCCCGAGGAACCAGTTCATCATCTACCGTCAGCACATGTCGGCCAAGATCCATGCCTCCAACCCTGGCGTTACTGCTGGCTGCATCTGTAAGTTGTTTCTCTCACTAGTCTGCCCAATCTTACTAACGGTGAGCAGCTCAAATTGTGGCACAGACTTGGGCGGCGGAGAAGCCCTCTGTCAAAGCTTACTACAAGGCTCTGGCGGATGAGGAGGATCGTCTTCACAAGGCGGCCTATCCCGGTTACCGCTACATTGCTGGTAATCGTAACACTCGCGCCGCATCCTCGAGGCGCCCCGAGGCTCACGACCCGATTCGGGTCGATGAGAAGCTGATTGCCGCCGGCTTCTGAGCAGTCTTGCCAATCAATCGACTCCCTTGCGACTGACGGTATCATGCAACACCCCTGAGGAACGCGCCAGATGAATGTTTGGAGTTCAGAAAACCACAAAAAAAAATCAAAACAGAATGACAAAAAAGTAAGTATCCAGTGCCTTTCCCTAACGCTGCACCGATTCATTAGAATTTGTCACTGACCCCGGCAACAGAAGCACCACGACAAGGTCGTTCTTCGCCAATTTCCAACTGGGCCACCCGAATGGGGAGTCCGGGAAGCGGCAAGAACTCTTGACAATGTATGTTTTGAGAGGTTTGCCACCATGCGTTTATTGCCATGCGACATGATCATGAAGACAAGAAAGGTTATGGGAGGGGCATCGTCAGGATTGATGATTGATCACTCATGCTATTATTCCCTGGGATTAAGTTCTCTGGGGAGGATACGACTCGACTTGGACTCTAGGATTTGGTTCTTGGAGGACGAACTTCTGGGATGCAAATCTTTGGGAGGAGAAGGATCAAGTAGCTGACACCATACTTTCGGGGATTCGTTTGTTCATTTTGATGGTTGATTCACAGTCGGTAATTCGGGGAGCATGAGCCGCAAGAGGGGGACGATACGTAGTAACTGGCACAATAAAAAACCTGATTTGTAAAACTTCTTCCTTGCTGCCCATGCCAATTGTTCCGGCCGAAAACCTCTATCTTGGTGTTGTGACTCGGCAGCCGAGACCCCGCGAATCCTCGATCTGCCCGTCGCCACCCCAGCGGCATCTGTTCCGAATGACCTCGCTGTCCGGTTTCTCGCCACACTGACGGAGAATTAATCAGAGGGAATCTGTTTTCAGATAATTAATCTATTAAGGTCCTGTGCTAAAAACGGTAATTCGCTCGAGCGACAAGCTCCCACGAGGTCAAAGAAACACGTCGGATACGGAAACCCGCATTCGAGGGCGTCATGGCGCATAAATAGGAAGAGGCAATCCGGAAGACAGAGACAAAGAACCGGGTACGGTGAACCAGATTAGTCGGTCTTAAAGGGCGTTGGGTTTGATTGTGTTTCTGGAACAGAGTACAAACCAGCGCTCTTGTGACGAGGGCTCTTGCAGAGAGGGCTCGCATCAAGAATCAAAGATATAGACACAATAATCTTCTTTGGCCTTAAGGTCCTTGGTGCCTCGCAACTCTGAGCTAAAGTGTACTTCGTACCTTTTGACCAAAGAAGACCAACTATGAGGAACTGGCCCTATGGCAGAATGTAGATAGGCGTTTTATTATATTATTGAGAAAGCTTATAGAAAGAGAACTACTTAGGGTTATACCTTGCCTAGGGCTCCTTA